AGCCAGAATTCTGAGATTAAAGTCAGAATTCTGAGATTAAAGTCAGAATTCTGAGATTAAAGTCAGAATGCTGAGATTAAAGCAAGAAATCTGAGATTAATGCCAGAAATCTGAAATTAAAGCCAGAATTCTGAGATTAAAGCCAGAAATCTGATATTAATGCCAGAATGGAGATTAAAGTAAGAATTCTGAGATTAAAACCAGAAATCTGAGATTAATGCCAGAATTCTGAGATTAAAGTCAGAATGCTGAAATTAAAGCCAGAAATCTGAGATTAATGCCAGAAATCTGAGATTAAAGTCAGAATGCTGAAATTAAAGCCAGAAATCTGAGATTAAAGTCAGAATTCTGAGATTAAAGTCAGAATTCTGAGATTAAAGTCAGAATGCTGAGATTAAAGCAAGAAATCTGAGATTAATGCCAGAAATCTGAAATTAAAGCCAGAATTCTGAGATCAAAGTCAGAATTCTGAGATTAAAGCCAGAAATCTGATATTAATGCCAGAATGGAGATTAAAGTAAGAATTCTGAGATTAAAACCAGAAATCTGAGATTAATGCCAGAATTCTGAGATTAAAGTCAGAATGCTGAAATTAAAGCCAGAAATCTGAGATTAATGCCAGAATTCTGAGATTAAAGTCAGAATGCTGAAATTAAAGCCAGAAATCTGAGATTAATGCCAGAAATCTGAAATTAAAGCCAGAATTCTGAGGGGAAAAAAAGTATGAATTCAGACTTTTTCCATATTAAATTCAAATAAAATGGCCATAATCCTCTTCCATAGATCAGATTATCGCTGCGAATGCATCATTAATCTTTCAATGATCAAACTGCAGCTTAATAACCTGTCTTTCTGTTGAACAAACCAAACGCGTCAAATATGCGTTAAAAGCAGCATTTTGTGGCGCATCAGAGGAACGAAGTGAACATTTTAGGGTTGAAGCGATCGAGGAGGAAACGTTTGGTTCCTCATCGGCAACATCCGGCCCATTTAATCCCTAATCTCCCGCATATTCCCACCCAGAGAGCCGCCGAGCTCAGCCTGGGCAGAGCAGAGATGCTCCGTTATTCCGCTTGCAGGCAGGAGCGCAGACGCATGGAGGCCGCTCCATTTTCAGGACTCACGCTCGACATCGTGCAGCTTGGCTCTCTCCTCCTCCAGTTTGCTCTTCAGCGATTCGGACTCGGTTTTCAGGTGGGCCAGAGTCTCGTTCATCTGAACCTCCTGTGTCGCCATTTCAGGGATCAGAGGGGATCTCATATATTTCCTTTGTGCCGGGAGCGACGGTCAGCGGAGAGGTTTTAACAGCGGCGGAGCTAACAGCTGATGCTGCTGCTGTCATGACGTCAGGGGAGAAGATGCTCCTTCAGGAGGAGGAGGAGGAGGAGGAGGAGGAGGGCAGCATCCTCATCACCATCCAGCCTCATTCCCCCACTAATACTCAATCATGCATTTTCAGTCAGTCTGCAGGGAAAATAAACAGGATTTCTCAACAATCTCAGAAATAATATTTCATAATGTAAAAGAACAGAGTTTTATAACCTTATAAGGTCAACTTTATAACATCTTACATAAATCAGAAGTTGAGCAAAATAACATATGCAGATATGTTATCTAAATTAAAGTTGATAAATTAACATTTTTTGTTTTACCTCCAAGTTCTTTTGTCTTTTGATGTTCAGTTGAAATCACTGATTAAGAATACCCTATGAAGAAACAACTATTATTTTTATAAAATATTGGAATATATGCAGAGGGGGATTCATCGTTAGGCAATACTAGGCAGTTGCTTAGGGCCTCAAGTTCCTGGGGGCCCCATGTATAGTTAATACAATCATTCTTTATTTGTGCACATTAATTATAATTAAGATAAAAATCCTTTCACTAAAATGCCATCAGAACGCTGATAAAAATAAGTGTGTCTCAGCCCCCCCCTTCAGTGTCCACCATATTGGATCAGTCCATTTGCTGCACATGTTCAGAAAGGTCCAAACAGACAGCAGCAAACCATTTGAAAACAAACCATGCAAAGAGCAGTGCTGCCAACTTAGCGCTTTAGTCGCTATATTTAGCCACTTTTCAGACCCCTCTAGCACTTTGATTTCTAAAAAGCTCCTAGCGCCAAATCTAGAGACTTTTTTCTGCTACTGGAGACTTTGGAGACAACATCTAAAAGCAGCGAACTCTGCTCTCCAGAGCCAGTAGATTGGTAACCCCGCCTCCTGCTCTCCTCTATCTTGTCTGCTGTCATGATTCATGCAGCTATTATTTCATCCAAATGAAAAATGGAGAACAGATAAGCAGATCATGGCTTGTCTACAGTGAAAAGAAGGACTGGGTTATTTACTTTGGCCTTTTTGGAAACACAGGAAGGAGCAATCAGCTAAGTGAGCTTAGTGCTTGGAAAAAATCTTTCATTCCTTTAGAGACAGCATGAAAAGTCAGCTGAATACAAAACATAGAGAGGAAAACAAGAAGAAAAGGGACAAGAAGAGAGGGACACAACCTAGAACAGATAATGGATGTCTATTCTATTAACATTTCTCTATCTGGAGAATGGGTCTGTTTTATGTGTTGTCTTCTCCATTCAGAGGGCCCCCTGCCTGTCTTTGCCTAGGGCCCCAAATTTCCTAAATCCACCCCTGAATATTATGGAGGACCAATTCTGCTATAATTAAAAATAAATACATAAATACATAAATGCTCCAAAAATAAATAAGCATACAATTAATAGCCCCCAAAAATTAAAAAAAACGAATAAATGTAGGTAGAAATTAAATTATATATATATATATAACAGAAAAACAGGCCTTAAGATATACCTGTCAGATTTAGATTGACAGTTCATCTCATTTAACTAAGAAATTTGTTTTTCATTTGAAATGACATTTTTAAAGGGTTTTAAGACAAAGTTTATCTACAATAAAGGGAATTTTAATTTACTCTTTTTATTTATTTATTTTTTAAGGCATACTGAGACTTATTTTTTATACCCTTATCTTTTGAAACGGTTAATTTAACAGCTTAGCTGCCTTTGGGATGTTGGGGTGGGAGGGGCTTCTTGTCATCATCCTCTTTATCCCCCCTCCATTAAGATTATAACCGACTCAAAAACGTTAATAAATAGTGAAATGTAAAAAAAGAAAAAAGAAAACAGATTAACAATTTTTTATTCAGTTTTTTAATTTATTTATCTGTTAAGGAAGTAATAATTCATACAATCCTTTTTGCTTATTTATGAAGACTAGAAAAATACTTGAAGCCGGTCCATGTTTTTCTTTTAACCCAGCTCTAAAAAAAATCAATATGTTAAAAACACTGTTAAAATATCTTTACACAGTTTATATAAAAACAATTAAAGTGGATCGATATGATTTACACTGAAGCCAAAACCAGGCAGAAAATATGGGATAAAAACATTTAAAAAATAAATCAAAACAAAAAAGAAACAATTACATAAGTAAAAATTAAACATTTAAGAAAAAAACATACTTTTTTCTATAATAACAAACTTCTATGATGGTACTTTAGCTGATCTGATATTTTATGTTTAAAACCAGATCACTTGTTTTAGAGGTGTTTAAATTTCAAAAAATGTTTATCAGTGAAATCAGATGAGCCTGAACTGTTTGAATAACGAGGTCATTGTTTAGTTTATCAAAAGGCCTGCCGCTTTATTTTACCTTAACAGGGAAAATAAACTAACCTGACTCTGCGGAAGGTTTCCAGATGGATATGCTGAGCAAATCCATCTGGAAACCTTCCGTTGAAGTAATTTTGGGAAGGGGCGAAAATACTGGTTAGCTGATTGGCCTATGTTGGTGATAGACGGGCCAAATAAACCAATCAGATCAACGAAGCATATGACGTACTAACAGAGCGACGATGAAAACACAACCACAAGCCAGGCTACTCTTGCCGAAACCAGTCGGGAGAAGAGCAAAAACATCTTTTCCTCTGAGAAAAGCCTCCAGAGCAGTGTTTTGCTCTTCTTTCAGTGAAGAAATACTCTGTAATTCCCATAAAACTTGCTCGATAGCCACGCTAACGCTAGTTTCATCGGCTGAAGCCGCCATGTTCTTTAGACTGAACTGTCGCGCTTCTCGTTGCGTCACACCTCAACCCGCCTCAAAGCCAACGCTGATTGGACGTTCGTTTGGTGAACGGCTCCAAATTTTCTTCAACGGAGAGTCTCCAGACTGATTAGCGAGTGAAACCTTGAAAGCTCGCGAGATCAGGATGGTCTCATGAGGCTAAAGATAAACCCTAAAGCAGGGGTGTCAAAGTGGTTCCAGAAAGGGCCGTGTGGCTGCAGGTTTTCTTTCCAACCAAGCAATAGCACACCAGACTCCATTCATCTCATCAAGTCATCATGTTTAGATTTGACTCACTTGATGAGATGAATGGAGTCTGGTGTAGTATTGCTTGGTTGGAAAGAAAACCTGCAGCCACACAGCCCTTTCTGGAACCAGTTTGACACCCCTGCCCTAAAGGATTCTTTTTCTATGTCTGCTTCTGTCTCCTTGAACCCCAGTGGGCCTCAGCAGATGGCCGCTCACACTGAGCCTGGTTCTGCTGGAGGTTTCTTCCTGTTCAAAGGGAGTTTTTCCTCTCCACTGTCGCTACAAGCATGCTCAGTGTGAGGGATTGCTGAAGAGTCAATGAGTCGATGCAATCAGCTGGTTTTCCTTAGATAAATGAATGAATTGAATTTATAAATGAACTCATCTTTTATCTTCATACTAATGTCAGTTTGTAACCCCAGAGAATTCCAAATGAAGATCATGAAAGTGAAAAGAGTTCATTTTTATTTGTATCTCTAATTACTATTTAAAGCAACATAATAGTTTTGTTTTCCCAATCAGTGAAGAGGCTGTAAAACACTGACAAAAAGATAAAACTAGAAATACAAAGTCTAAAAATCAAAGGTAAATAAATCATAGGTCTTCAAATATTTTAAATAATATATTACATACAAATTCTAGCTCTTCCTCTTATATACATACAAAGAAGTGCTTATATACAGTGAGGTAAGACTTGAGTACGATTCATGTTGAGTAAAAGGTTAAAGGTTCCCATCATCAAATCCTAGTCAGGAAGTCCAGACGAAGGCTGCTGGGAACCTGCAGGGACTCTAAAGCTGTTGATGAGGCGCAGAAAGGAAACGTCACCTGGAAGCGATAATCTGTGTCCAGCATCAGCTGTGTAGAGCCTTCATATTCCTGGAGGAGGGACTGCAGCAAAGAGAACATTTACACGCCGTTTCAGGCCATTATTTAAAGGAAAAGTTGCTCACATTCAGAATTTTAACTTCTTAAAGTACTTTAAAAATGAAAATATTACATCCTGTTCAATAAATGATCAGTGTTTTTAATTCAGAGTAATTTTCATGTGAATGTTCTTTACTGGAGGCATCCATGTTTGTCAAAGAACACTACTGCCACCTACTGGTTTGTGACGTCACGGTGCGGTATCGGCTGTTGATCAAGTCCCAGTGCTGTATCTGGTGTTTGTCACAACGCGCTATTATCCAAGTCATCTTGAAAACATTCTTCTTCCAAATGTTGGCTACATATTACGGGTTTTTTCTCTGGCCAGAAGTTCGATGGCAAATCCTCCCTCTTCAAGTTGGCGATCCAACGACCAACCCGTCCGTGGAGGATCAGGAATCAGAAAGGTGGAATAACTCTTTTTTTTCACTTTTACCCGATGTATTCCAGCATCCAGCTGCCATGCACGTGGGCATTGTCAGTTTCACTATAGCTCTGGTGAATTTCAATGGTGAAGTCCTCTGGAAGTCTTCAATAATTGTTGTTGATTGCAGATGTGTCTAGTAGTTCCCATTGATTTAGCTTGGAAAGCGGGGAGAATGGCGCTAGGCTTACCGCACCGTGACGTCACTGCTGGAAGATGGCAGGAGGGAGGGGCTACTATATCTGGGCAAAAATGGCCGCTCCCAGACTCAGTGATCACGGTGAAAATTGTTTTTATTTTTTACTGATTAACACTAAATTCATTAATTCGCTGCAAACGTATTAGATTTTAGTAGTGATGGTGAGATGAAGCCTCATGAGGCATTGAACCGTTTGGCCAAATTGCTTCAACGATCCCCACAGTTCACGAGGCTTCGTGTGAACATGTCACCACCTACTGGTGGACAGCAGAACTACAGTTTGTAATAAAATCTGTGGGTTTTTTTTGCAGCTGTTTTTCTTTTCTTCCCCTTTCAAGTTCCCCTTGAAATTGTTAATGGTTGGTGTGTATAATAAAATATTTTCTAATTTTCTTTTCGTAAAATTTCTTATAACAATAATTTAAGGTTTACAGTTTTTCTGCCATTTAAGTGAAATAAACTCAAGCAGACAGTGAAAGTGTTTGTGCAAATTGGGCAATCAGAATCAGAAATACTTTAATAATCCCAGAGGGAAATTACTTTGATGAGCAATGATGAGAAAAATGAAAGGTGTTAGTCAATTTTATTCAAACATGATCGTTTTTCCATGTTTTTTGGTTTTAATCAGGTTGGAAGTTGTTTTCAACCAATCTTTTGACTAAACAGACCTAATTTACCCAATCTATATTTTTACTCGGGCAAAACAATGCAAATTAGTTTCATCAGCCAGTTTAATCGCAACTTTCAAAAGTCAAAGACAGGTCTTAAACGCTCAACTTAAAGAATGAGAATCTGTCTCCAACAGATGTCGCCACCTATGTAGATAACCAATGCAAGGAGAAAATACTACTTAACAGTGACGTGTCAACACTGACTTTGTTCGGTGGTTTGCTCAAATTTTGATCATTACATTGTTTATTCTAACCAAATTTGTTTTAAGCAACTAGATTGGTTGTTTTTCCAACCAATTTATTCTTAGAATCTATCCAAACTTTATGCCCCTTGACAGCATCTCTCCTCCAAACTCCCACATCTTGACTGAACACTGACGCTGTTAAGATGCCTGTAAAATTCTTGCGCTTCCCGAAGCGGTCACGTGGTATCACAGTAGCGAGGCCTTGGACGTCATCAATTTTAGCCCCGCCTCTAAACGAATCACGCCTCGACACGCGCTTCGGGGAAACGCCCCCTCCATTACTCGACACACGCGTCGAAGCCTCGGCTCATCTCATAACATCACTAGATTTTAGGTATAAATAATGATCCATTGGTTATTCCTCGCCGACCGAACTTTTCCTTTAATTAAACCTGTAATCAGAAGAGACTCCGCTCATTTAAACCTGACTAAACAGCAAAGCTTACCTGAACTTTGCGGACAAACGATGAGGTCACTCGCTTCTCAAAATCATCTATGGGTGTGTAGGAATTCAAAATCTTAACAATCTGGAAATTTAAATACAAGTTAAGTTTTAAGTATTGCCTAAACGTCAAAAAAGCAACGGGACACGGATGGATATCAGTGACTGTACCTGATCAGGGTTTAGTTCAGTGCAATTTTCTGCAATCTCTTGAGCGTCTTCATCAGTGGACTTGTTGACCTGCAGCAGCCAGGCAGCCTGAGCCAGAGGCCTCAACGTATCGATGCCCCCGGAGCTCTGGAGCTCATTCTCCTTCAGCCACTCTTCCAGGTAACTGATGTTACATCTAACAGAAAAGTGAAACTTTTTTTTAACATCAAATCTCTCCTCCACCCTTCATGCAGATGTTGCCATAACAAACCTAATCTGCATCCCTTTCCTGCAAGAGCACATGTCTTTGCAAAGCATGATGTGGTTGAAGGTGGTGGCGCCAACCAGGAAGAAGAGCTGTTTGACGACCTGTTTGATCAGGCTCTGCTCCATGCCGTGGTGGCTCATGGCAGAATGGAAGACAGACAGCTGCTGCAGGATGGAGGAGATGGTGTATTTCTCTGAGTCCTTATACATACTGTTGGAACGCTTCCTAAAGCCGGTCGGTTTCATGCTAGAAATTCCTTGTAAGCTCTCATGCTCCAACATACCAGGCACTGTTAGAAGACATGCGACAGGTGTTAACCTACAGGAATCAAAATCCAACAAAAATATAGAATAAGGGTTTGGGTAAAACACCGATAGTAGGCATGAGGGTCTTCTGCATGACAGAGATGAGCTGATGGTAGATCTGTATGGCCACGTCGCTGAGAATCTGTCTGTGTTCGGACAAATCAAAGTTCTGCAGGCAGTTCTTTTTCTGACGCGCTGTGCTCTGTTTCTGGAACTCCTTTTGTAAGAAGAGACAATGGAAAACAAAAAAAAAATACTTTCCACTGTAGGCGAGAGTTTAGACAGGTTAGACCAGAAGAGTCGGGGAACTGCTCACCTCCTCCCCGCTGTATTGTTTTAGACAGTTGAGCAGCTGGTATGTGTTGGAGAGCCAGAAGGACAAAGATTCAAATTCCTTGTAAGCCTGAAACAGACGAATGTCAGGAACAACTCAGCATGCTTGGATTTAATGATTTTTTTCATTCTTAGAAGTCAACACACAGAGGCGGTTCTAGACCAGATGTACCAGGGGGGCCGAGGGGGGTGGAGGGTAGCAGCGTGTTTTCATGGGGGCACAAAAAGGCATGAAATAAAAAACAGGGAAAGGGATTAAAATATATTAAAGGCATACTATGCAACATTTTTTAGTTAATTAATGTGTTCCATAACGTTTTGGATGATTAAATGAGTCATTTCAGGTCGAACAAAGGTTTTCTCTGCCGCCCTGGTGGTCTGTAGGGGAAATACAGTACTTGCAATTGCAGGAGCCCTCGGCCCGCACCCACAGGCTCAGAAGTCTTGTGCGTCACGAGAGTCTGTCTTGCTTTACGGCGAGAACTGCTACACGCCCCCAGTGAAAGGCATGCTCGTTGCTAGCTCAGTGGCGTTATCATGGCGGAACCAGCGAGAATTTTCAAACTCGAAAATTGGAACAAAATAGTCACTTAATGCAGTAGACACGGTGATTCGTTGCGTTCGCCTGCTAAGCTCAAAACAACCGCGCCTGGCTTGACGGAGAAACCAGCTGAGCATATTTACGACATTGCACTTTTACTTTCACCCTCTGGGGGGAGCCTCGCTGGAAAATCAACACCGGTTGCATAGTATACCTTTAAGACAGCTGAATAAAGTGAAGTTTCTATTTAATTAGGTTGAATTAAAATTCTATGTCTTACTAGGTCCATATACATTCATAACTTAGGGAATTTTACATATTTTTGACTTAATTTAAGTTAAAATAACTTAGAACTCAAGAAAACTGATAGATTCAGCAGTAAAAATTAGGTTTTTTTTTTATTTGTTCTGGAAAAAAAAAAACTTTAGCAGATGAAACAGGGATCCTATCTCAATACCACTTTAGTCTTATCACCTTATAGTTTTTAAATAATTAGTAAAACTGAATTTGTAAAGAAAAAAAAATGAAATAGATCCAAAGGACCTATCAGTAACCATATCTGTTCCAGCGCAGGTCATCATTACAATTTCTTTGAGTTTTATGTCTTCGGCACAGTGGCCAACAGTGGCATCCTTGGCTGGTCCTTAAGTGGTCCTCTAACATTCCTTTTTAAAAATCAATCTTTGTACTAAAATATTCTTTCCGGTACAGGATCTTACTGCTACTGCTCTTTAATTATGTGTAATTTGAGAGAAGTCGTCCTCATTTGATTTATGCTCCTCGATTTGAAAATGTCTGCAGTGGTGTAAATATTTTGTGTATCCATGTTGTGCTTTTTCAGGTTGTGCTATATGGTATTTAAGGTTAAATGTCTGGGCAAGGTGCAATATTGTAGCCTGGTGAGACCATCCTGATCTCGCGAGCTTTCAAGGTTTCACTCGCAGATCAGTCTGGAGATTCTCCGTTAAAGAAAATTTGGAGCCGTTCACCCAACGAACGTCCAATCAGCGTTGGCTTTGAGGCGGGTTGAGGTGTGACGCAACGAGAAGCGCGACAGTTCAGTCTAAAGAACATGGCGGCTTCAGCCGATGAAACTAGCGTTAGCGTGGCTATCGAGCAAGTTTTATGGGAATTACAGAGTATTTCTTCACTGAAAGAAGAGCAAAACACTGCTCTGGAGGCTTTTCTCAGAGGAAAAGAAGTTTTTGCTCTTCTCCGGTTGCTGGTTTCAGCAAGAGTTTGATCTATCAATTGGCTCCTCTTCGTCGTCGCTCTGTTAGTACGTCATATGCTTCGTTGATCTGATTGGTTTATTTGGCCCGTCTATCACCAACATAGGCCAATCAGCTAACCAGTATTTTTGCCCCTCCCCAAAATTACTTCAACGGAAGGTTTCCAGATGGATATGCGGAGCAAATCCATCTGGTGGAGTCAGGTTAGCAATATTGTGGTACATTTTGTAAAACTGTCATGCGTATATGAAAATTAGATTGATTCAAGTATTTTGATTTCATTTATAGTTTGTGTTTCCTTAGTAGTATATGTTCTCTAACAGGCGTAACTGTCTTTCTGTCCGAAGGTTTTTACCCGACTGCTGTTGAGACTGACCACAAAATGGGGAAATAAAAAGAATGGAAAAAGTCTCATCTGCTTTGTCTGAGTAAATCCAGCTATACTCTTAATGTCATGGGTCCGGCCCTTTCAATGGTGGGTTGCAGCTACTGAAAAGCTTGACAGTCATGATTTGTGGACATTAAGAGAAGCGTCATGTCCTGGTCCAGAGCCTGTAATTCAGGTGGAGTAAAAGTAAAAACATATCCACGTCCAGGAGAAGGCCAGTGGAGGGGATTTTGACTGGGAAGGGCCATTTTGAATGACTGCTACTGTATAGCTTCTAATACGTGGGCCAAACTAATTTAGAAGAATTTCAGAGTTTAAAAACAACACTCATGACGAGAGCATGTTGTTTTCTTACATGTACTGAAAATTGCTGTACGAATTATTACGTTTTTTCTACACGATGTCTAAACATCGGGTGCAGATGCATCTTTACACGCAGACTATATTCAATAAAATGGATCTTAGTACACAGACTGAAAACCAGTTTTACCGCAGTGACTTTTTTGATCCCTTGAATGATGGAATTCATCAGAGACTTCAGTTTGTTGTCGTCATTCAGGTAGTCGGCATGACGGACGCACATGAACAGGAGGAAAGCTGGCAGAGTCGGGATCACGTTGACCACCACACCTTTGGGCTTCAGGTCTGTTAAAATGAAGGAGAACATCATCATTATTATACTGAAATTCAAAGAAAGCTCATTAACTAGAAGATCATAACTAGGGGTTGGTATTGCCAAAGAAGTCACGATGCGATTCGATCACAATGCATCACGATACTTGAATTATTGCGATGCATTCATACATAGCTGTATTTTTGAAATGACTTTTGGAGGTGTTGCCATGAAAACAAATACTACTGTAACAATATATCAACTTCATTTTTACCTTTGTTTTTAAAACCAAAATGCTTCCAAACATCGAATTTGAAATGTGATGGAGCCGGACGAAGTTTCTCAATCTCCTCCGTGTTTGGTTTATGAATGACTCGGCGCAGTATCCCGCGGCCGGAAATGCTTGTGACACAAGGCAGCGACATCTACTGGACTGGAAGTTGTATTACACTTGTTTTTGGCTGATGTTCGCCAACCATTCATGCAATTTTATTTATTCATTTTTTTCTAATTAATAATCGATACTTGGCGTCAAGAATCGATGCAGTCGATGACGAAAATTAGAATCACGATGCATCATCATGACGATTATTTTGCACGCCCCTAATCTTAACTATGATGATTCCAAAACAGTTAAAAAACAACAATCCACTGGACTTTGTTTCCAAGTTTGAAGACGTTTCTCTTCCCATCCAGGAAGCTTTTTAAATTCAAAATGTCGTTTTCTTGAATGTACTGCATATGCATTATAATGCAAATTTAATGTACCGAATAAGTACTGAATATGAAAATGTCTCCGGACCTTTACTGGTTGATGATTTTCTTTATTTGGCCCCGCTGATTTTAATTGGTTACCCCTGCTATAAAGCCTGGAACTCAACGCTATTCCTGACATTTTGAATTACAAAATCTTCCTGAATGGAAAAGAAACGTCTTCAAACTTGGAAACAAAGTCCAGAGGATTGATTTCTAACTTTTTTTGGAATGACTATGACCTGGATGACTGAGAATCTTCAGCAGCATACCTATGATGATAGTTTGAATGAGCCTTGCTTCATCCTCCCTCCTATACTCCAACATGCCGAGGTATTCTTTAGGAAGAGCGGGATTTTGTTTCGCTGTGGGAGAAGCAGCATACGTTATAAACATTGTGAAATTAAATTATTTCCATTATGTATGAAGGACAATATAACTCCACCTCTCTGTGAGTGTTTCAGACTCTTTATCTGCTTATGGAGTTTCTTGATGCATCGCTCCTTCTGGTCAAGCTGCTCCTCCAAGTCCTGCGTGTTAATGACACGTTAATAACCGTCGGTTTTTAACTTTTCGCACAGTAACCCTTCACCTAGGAGGCTCTCTCTCTCACACACCATGTTTTCGGCGGTTAACTGTGACGCCTCCTCTCGCAGCTTTCTTTTCACTTCTCCCTCCATCAGCTGCTGTCTTTTCAAGTGTTCGTTCTCCTCCTCCAGTTCCTCTATCCTTCCCTGAAGCTGCTCCCTGGTCTCATCCAGCTCCTTGGCCCTCTCCTCAAAGTGCCTAAAATGCATTAAGACAGCTGGAAGTTATGATTCAGCACTCTGAGTGAGAAAAATAAACGGTGAAATAAATGTTACCGGCGTTGCGTGCTTTCTTCTGCGATCTTCTTGTGGAGAATGGTGCTGATCTCATTATTTTTCTCTTTCATTATATGAGAAAGAAAAAAAAGGTCAGATAAAGAGTGATTAAAAAAAACTCAAACATCATCTAGATCAGGGGTCACCAAAGCGGTTATTCTGTTGCTCTTCTTTTTAATCATTTGTGTATTATTTCATCATGTTAACTATTTCATCATATTTCAGTGGTTTCAAAATTACATTAAAAAGAAAATTAGAAATGAATAAAAGAATAAAATAAGTAGTGATGCACGATATAATCGGCCCCCTATCGGTATCGGCCTTAAAACTGAATATCGGACATCGGCCACCCCACCGATATTTAACCCGATATTTGATCAGCTTCTGAGTTTCTAAAGTCTAAAAAAAATAAAATACTACTTCTTCTTCTTCCTCAAAAACTTCTTTTTTACAGACTTAAAAACTTCTAAAGACGAAGGAAAAAATATTGATCCATTAAAATATCCCAATATCTTCATATGCTGATATATTGCCATTTAAAAACACCATATCAATCTCTTTTACTAATGAAATATTGCTATATGTCATCGTTATGCTACGAAATCCCCCGAAAATTCACCAATGTTGCCATATTTTTATATGTTGATATATTGACGCGGTATCGATCTATTTTACTAACAAAATCTCACAAGAATTTGCAAAATATCACGAGAGTTTGTAACAGAACGATGAAATTTCACGAGATTTTGAAAGTAAAATAGATCGATACCACGTTTTTAAAAATCAATATGATATCAGCATATGAAAATATATTTGAGTATATTATTTTTCAAAGTGTCAGAAATGGATAACAAAACTGCTATTTTCAATGACTACTTATTTTTGTCCAGCTTTTACATCGGTATCGATATCGGTTATCGGCTACATGAGTTTTAAAATATCGGCATATCGGATATCGGCCAAAATCCCAATATCGTGCATCCCTAAAAATGAGTTTTTTATGGATGAGATTTACTGCAGGTGAACACTGATCCCTCCAGTTCATAGGTCAGTATTGGTAGCCCTTCCTATGACTCGGTAGCCATGAATTAGCAGTCAGCCTTTAAAAGGTTGGTGACGACTGATCTAATCGTGGGTCTGCAACCTGCGGCTCCAGAGCCTCGTGTGGCTCTTTGGACCCTCTACATTAGCTCTTAATAGTGGCTAAAAATGATGGAAAGAACTAAATAATGTACTTTAACAACAAATACCTTAGACTGGAAAGCACCAGAAATATGTTTTTAGAGCCATTTTTTGCTTCAGTTAGCTTGGAAACGAGGTGTTTTATTGTTTTTTTTATTGTTCTTTTTTTACATCAAATAATATCCTACAGGAAATAAAAAATCCATGCTTCAGTTTTATGAATTGTTTCATGTTTTTCCTTATTTTAAAAGCAAAGAATCCTAAGAGGTTATTTCAAATGGCAACATATTTCTTATGGCAGATATTTAACAAAAATAATATTTTTTTTTAAATAAAATAAAATCATGGGCGTGCAGGTGGCGCAGTGGTCCGTGCGCAGAACCCATTAATGGAGGCCTTAGTCGTCAACGCGGCCGACCCGGGTTTGAATCCGGCTTGTGGTCTTTTGCCTCATGTCCCCCCCCCCCTCTCAGGCCCTCTTTTCTGTCAGCCTACTGTCATAAAAACGAGCCACTAGTGCCGTAATCATGTAATATTTTGTGTCTCTAAACTATTTTTATTTAGCTGGAGTCAGGGCAGGGGCGTTGCTAGGCACAAAGCTTTACTGGGGCACTGGCCCCCTACCGCATATGTCCCTCCTTCCATACACAAATACAGACAAGCACACTGCCCAACCCTGATACATTCCTACCAAAATTACCAGTTGAGATAATAATGAGTGTAAGAGCATATTTGTTTTAACAAACATGAACATTTTCAACATTGCAGCTATAAAAAATAAGACATCAACAACTTTGACAAATAAAAAGTTTCCTTATACACATTCTGAAGTAATCATTAATTCCTAGGTTACAGAGTTTTAGTTCGGGGGAAAGTTTAACTCAACCTGAACTAAGCTTTTCTTTTCTTTTATGAGCATTAAAGTGTACCTCCTATTTTTCATTTTTGCAAAGCGGTCAATCACTAGACTGTGACTCAGCTTAGAAAGTTCTTCCTTTTCAACTGATAAAATAGCCAGATCATTGAGCCTGTCTTGTCCCATTGTGCTCCTCAGCCAAGTGTGGATCCTTCTCAACACACTGAATGACCTTTCACAACTCCAGCTGTAGACTGGGATGGTGATGGAGATCTGGATGATCTGCGTTAGTGTGGGGAACATGGTGTTATCGAGCAAGTTGGAAACACACTGCTTATCCTTGATGACAAGGCTTTCTTTTACAACCAGGAAAAGTTTTTAAACCATTTTGAATTAAATGAATGTTTTTTTACTCCAAATTTGTCCTGGGGATGGTGGGACAACTTCACTTGTTTAGGACCATCCAGCACCTTCATTCTCATTCTCTACAGCAAACATTAAAAAACGTAAATTTATATTTATGTAAATATCAATCATATTGCCTATAACGTTGCTAATGTAATTTAGCTTAAATCACTAATTCATCCCAGGACCTTACCTCCCTCTCTCTCATCTTGTTTTTCTGCTTCGTGTGAGGAATTTCCTGATATCCATCTACACATCAATGCGGTAATTTTCAGTTAGTAGCCTATAAATCATGTGGTTTCACTGGGAAAATAATAAAACTGACAGGTAAGAAACGTTACCAGAACTAAAAATGCGTCGCGGCCGCACAGTGTCCCATCCAACTCAGTTGAAAGCAGCGCGTTAATTTACCTGCAGTTCATGCAGTGACCTGCGCGGACGTGGGGGCGCTATTACATCCTCAATTTGGAGTAGAAATATACGTCTCCTCCCTTTGGAAATATTTTAATTGATGTATTAAAAATGTATTACTGTTGCAAATATTCATGAGATTTATACTGGGTCACAGCTCATTTATACTGGGGCACGTGCCCCAGTAAATGGGGTCTGGCGACGCCGATGAGTCAGGGCAAAATGGCCCTTTGGATATGGAAGGTTGCAGACCCCTGATCTAGATATTAGAAAGGCTTGATCCTGGAGTTGAATAGCTTTAAAAATGAACCTTACCAGCTAACTCGCAGCTCTGCTCCTTGACAACGACATCAAGCTCCTGCTTTTGTCTCTGCAGCTCAGAAACCTGCAGCTTCAGCTCTGGTATGACCTGGTTGTTGGAGTAAAACACCATCAAAGCTTTGCATCAACTCATTTAAGCTGTTTAACGTCGTATTTTGGTGATGAAATGAAGCGCGGAGCGTACAGAGTTCTCACTGCTGAGCCTGGACACCTCTTGGCGAATATCCTCATTGATGTTACTTTTTTCCTGGAAAAGATTTTGCAGCTTGCTGTTCTCATTCTGAAGGTGGTCCACTTTCAGGCTCAGGCCCTCCAGCTGAGATTCATACATCTCCTTCTGCTCCCTCTGGTGGCTTTCCATTAACCTTAAACAAGGAGGGGATTTACCATTAGGCAATACTAGGCAGTTTCCTAGGACCCCAAGTTCTTGGGGCCCCATAAAACTTGTTAGTTTTTTGCAATTGTGCTAAATTGACAGTAAAACGGTGACTGCTGAAATACTGAAGCAGGGCTGGGCTGTGGTGGTGATCCAGAGACACTGGAGAGGCTACCGCACCAGACAGGTCTACCAGATCCTCCGTCTGGCCTCCATCACCATCCAAGCCTTCACCAGAGGCTGGATGGCCAGGAAACGCTACAAGAAGGTCTGAGACTAAGAGGAGCTGTTAGGCTCTGATTTATTAAAACATGATTCTGCGTCTCTGAGATTTCATCTAACTTTACAGATGATGGAGGAACACAAAGTTGTGGTTCTGCAGAAATATGCCAAAGCGTGGCTGGCCCGGCGGCGCTTTCAAACCATGCGTCGACTCGTGCTCAATGTCCAGCTCTCCTACAGGGTGCAGCAGCTCAGGAAGAAGAATGAGGAGCAGGTGAATATCCTTCATATTTAATGGAGGCAGTTGCCTAGGGCCCCAAGTCCCTGGGTTACATGTAAAAGAAAACAAACCATGCAAAGAGCAGTGTTGCCAACTTAGCGCTTTAGTCGCTATATTTAGCCACTTTTCAGACCCCTCTAGCACTTTGATTTCTAAAAAGCTCCTAGCGCCAAATCTAGAGACTTTTTTCTGCTACTGGAGACTTTGGAGACAACATCTAAAAGCAGCGAACTCTGCTCTCCAGAGCGAGTAGATTGGTAACCCCGCCTCCTGCTCTCCTCTATCTTGTCTGCTGTCATGATTCATGCAGCCATTATTTCATCCAAATGAAAAATGGAGAACAGAGAAGCAGATCATGGCTTGTCTACAGTGAAAAGAAGGACTGGGTTATTTACTTTGGCCTTTTTGGAAACACAGGAAGGAGCAATCAGCTAAGTGAGCTTAGTGCTTGGAAAAAATCTTTCATTCCTTTAGAGACAGCATGAAAAGTCAGCTGAGTACAAAACATAGAGAGGAAAACAAGAAGAAAAGGGACAAGAAGAGAGGGACACAACCTAGAACAGATAATGGATGTCTATTCTATTAACATTTCTCTATCTGGAGAATGGGGACCCTGCCCATCTTTGCTTAGGGCCCCAAATTTCCTAAATCCGCCCCTGACCTTAAAATGACATCTTAGCAGTTTAACCAAAGCAGAGGACAGAAATGCAACGATTTCACGTTGAATTCTTTACCTTGTAGCTTTTTGAAGACCCTCAAAAGCTTCATGTAAATCATCTGGTTCATAAATCTTCTCAGAATCGTCTGGAATAAACCTTTAAATAAAAATGAAGTTAAAATAAAATGCTGAAAAAGTTATAAAAATTTAAAACTTTTGAAACCCAAATAAGTTACCCTCCAATTTTTTCCTCTTCAACAACACCGCCAAGCAGCTGTCTTATGATTTCCTTGGTTTTCGCTGCAACAATATTTAATTATTTTTAAAGACTTTATTTCTGTGAGGAGATTAAGGTAAAAAAAATTAGCGTAACATCTGTAAACCTCTTGTTTGCTCTGACTGTTCCTTCATCCTGCGGTCCAGGTTATCCCTCTGATTCTGCAAGTTGTTCATGTCTCTGCGCAGCTCTGGGATGACCTTCACATGCTTGGTGAGCTGAAGGACCTGTTCCTGCAGGTCAGAGCTCACCTGTGCTCCCTCTTCCATCTTCCTCTTCAGACTCACTCTCTCCTCTTTTAATCGCTTTATCTCCTCCTTCAAAGTTTCCAGCTCTTTCTCGTTATCATATCTCTGGATCTCGATGTTGTTTTCTGCAATTCTACAGTAAAACCAGCAGTGATCAGTTGAATCACAGTTGACCTGCTGCAGATTTATTTAGTCTTCTTTTTTTTTTTTTTTTTTTTTTTATTAAACACAAAAGAAACAGTTAAAATTTTTGGCTCAAGAAACGTTTATTAAGTCATTTTAAATAGACTTACTTTCTAAGTCGGACTTCATTTTCTTTCTCTTCCTGAAGGCTCATTTTCACTTGATCAAAACTTTCTGTAAGATGTAACACAGCAGTAACATGCAGGAGTTACTGTTTAAATTCAATTCAAATCCTTTATTTCTGTAAAAAATGCAAACTGAAAGGTTGCACTAGTTTATAAAAACGTTAGAAAAAACTTAGCAAAACTTAATATATAGAGTATGAAAAATAACATTGCAAAGTGCCTGTACAATCCATTGTATGCGAGTCATTTTACTTTATTGTAAAAAACAAATTTCTTTACAGAAATTATTTAAGGGTAATGGTGCATCTTTTGGAACTTCAGAGCACAGCTGCAAATTGCAAACAGATTTTATTGCCACTAACTCATAAAGCTCGTCTTTTTCACTAATTCCTCATGGAATATGTAATTTTATCAAGAAAAGCAGGGAGTAAGAACTTTTACTTTAGTGTGATTTTTATTTGCTGTTATGTTTTACAATACATCATAGTAAGAGAGCTGGTCGTAACTGGAGCTCACTAAATTATACGTACATTTTCTAAAGACCTTGAATGTCAGGTTTTGCCCCCATTTCTCCTTCCCCGCTAAAAAGCCCCTTATGACCTTTAAATGAAACATTCACTAAAGAGATATATCTGTAGATTTTAAGATTATATGTAATATAAAAAACCGTGCTGCTATGAGAACAACATTTCTAAATGAAATTGCATCCATCACCTATGGAAACAGATTTCTTATTTTTAAAATACAGCTTTTTTTCAGGGCTGGAATTGTTTATAATTATTAAAACTGGTCATCCAGGTCAGTCATTCCAAATTAGTTGAAAAACAATCCACTGGACTTTGTTCAAATTTGAAGACGTTTCGCTTCCCATCCAGGAAGCTTTTTCAATTCAAAACGTCAGAAATAGAACTCGTATATCTCTAAACTCAATAGCGTTGAACTCAACGCTATTTCTGACATTTTTAATTGAAAAAGCTTCCTGGGTTGGAAGCGAACTCTAAACCCGGAAACAAAGTCCAGAGGATTGTTTTTTTTTTTTCAACTTTTTTGAAATTATTAAAAGCTCCAAACACAGCTGCAAAGGAAAATGGTATCAAAAAAGTTATAATCCGTTTAAAACAATCTGTAAAAAAAATATATAAAAAAAAAAAATTAAATAAAAAAAACAATACATTTAAAAAAAAAAGAATCTATCCAATAAATGAGTAACGCAACTAAATGCGGACTTAATAAGTCCAATCCTTTGTTTCTTCCTTACTGATCTTGTTTCTTGTACTTAAACCGGCTGAGTAACAGAAACTTATGGAAGTTCCTCCTGTTTGCTGTAGTTTATAAATAATTGGATAAATCAGAAAGATTTCTGCATTTCTATTCATAAAAAAACTTTCCGAACGATTCCCGTATTATCTAGCAGTCCTGGTTATATTTACCCACCTTTAATAACTTTAAACATAAATTCCGATAAGTTTTATATAAAGACCTTTTTACCCTTGGTTTCTTTGATGGAAGCTTCAAGCTTTTTCTCCATGTTTTCCTTTTCAAGCTTTAGAGCCTCTATTTGCTTTTGAAGCTGATTAATTGTCTAAAGTTAAAATAAAAAAAACAACAAATAAATTTCATTTAGAAATATACAAAAAAAATTTTAACAAAAAGAAGCAGTGAATTCAAATATCGCTATGAAAGTTATTCATATTGAGACAAACCAGGTTGGCTTCTTCTCTTGCTTTTCTTTCTCTTTCCTCTGCAGAGGCCTTCAGGTTGGTTATTTTTTCCAGCTGCGCCTCCTGACTGCGAACTCTGTCCATTGTTTGGGAATGAGTGCTGGCCAGGCTAGTCAGTCTTTCCATCAATCCTCGGTTCTCTTTGTTCTGTCAGGAAAGTCAGTTCCATTTTATCCCAAAACTATTCATACACCCGGCAGACTGAGATTGTCTCTGATAGTAAACAATGCAGGAGTATGCATATTAACATATACATGTAACTAATTAAATATACTTTTTTATGTGTGTTGAAAATGATTTATGACCCTAGTAATCAATGGAATCATACTTATTGCAGCCATCAAACCCTTATGTATAAATGACAATTATTCACAAAGCTGCGACGGATTTAGGAAATTTAGGGCCCTTGACAATCACTTTTTTCATTTAGTGGGGGATTAATAATAAACACAGTCAGACAAACACGAATCAAATGTACATTTTGCCAAATAAAACAAAAATATCCCCATCATAGCCAACGGTACTTAACACACAGCTTTGCCGAGAGAGGGCTGCCGCAGACGGGCCAACGATAGCCCTGGCTGCCGGAAGACGGGCCAACGTTAGCCCCTGGCTGCGGCAGACGGGCCAAGGTTAGCCCCTGGCTGCGGCAGACGGGCCAACGTTAGCCCTGGCTGCCACAGACGGGCCAACGTTAGCCCTGGCTGCCACAGACGGGCCAACGTTAGCCCTGGCTGCCACAGACGGGCCAACGTTAGCCCTGGCTGCCACAGACGGGCCAACGTTAGCCCTGGCTGCCACAGACGGGCCAACGTTAGCCCCTGGCTGCCGCAGACGGGCCAACGTTAGCCCTGGCTGCCACAGACGGGCCAACGTTAGCCCTGGCTGCCACAGACGGGCCAACGTTAGCCCTGGCTGCCGGAAGACGGGCCAACGATAGCCCTGGCTGCCTCAGACGGGCCAACGTTAGCCCCTGGCTGCTGCAGACGGGCCAACGTTAGCCCCTGGCTGCTGCAGACGGGCCAACGTCAGCCCTGGCTGCCACAGACGGGCCAACGTCAGCCCTGGCTGCCACAGACGGGCCAACGTTAGCCCCTGGCTGCTGCAGACGGGCCAACGTTAGCCCTGGCTGCCACAGACGGGCCAACGTCAGCCCTGGCTGCCACAGACGGGCCAACGTCAGCCCCTGGCTGCCGCAGACGGGCCAACGATAGCCCTGGCTGCCGGAAGACGGGCCAACGATAGCCCTGGCTGCCTCAGACGGGCCAACGTTAGCCCTGGCTGCCACAGACGGGACAACGTTAGCCCTGGCTGCCACAGACGGGCCAACGTTAGCCCCTGGCTGCTGCAGACGGGCCAACGTTAGCCCTGGCTGCCACAGACGGGCCAACGTTAGCCCTGGCTGCCACAGACGGGCCAACGTTAGCCCTGGCTGCCGGAAGACGGGCCAACGATAGCCCTGGCTGCCTCAGACGGGCCAACGTTAGCCCCTGGCTGCTGCAGACGGGCCAACGTTAGCCCCTGGCTGCTGCAGACGGGCCAACGTTAGCCCCTGGCTGCCACAGACGGGCCAACGTTAGCCCTGGCTGCCACAGACGGGCCAACGTTAGCCCTGGCTGCCACAGACGGGCCAACGTTAGCCCTGGCTGCCACAGACGGGCCAACGTTAGCCCTGGCTGCCACAGACGGGCCAACGTTAGCCCCTGGCTGCCACAGACGGGCCAACGTTGGCACCCTGGCTAACGACCTCCAACACTAAACTCTCCTCCTCTTGCATGTTTCCGCTGTCCATAGCGTTCCTTGACAGCGTCGTTTCTAAGTCACCAATTTAGTGCTACTTGGTCCCAATGGAATTTCCCATTGGTAACCTGCTAGCCCTAAGTTGCTAACTAATTAGCAATGATACTTTCGAGAAACCAGGAACTTGGGGCCCTAGGTAACTGTCTAGTATAGCCTAATGGTAAATCGCCTCCTGTAGCTGAACATTAAATATGAAGGATATTCACCTGCTCCTCATTCTTCTTCCTGAGCTGCTGCACCCTGTAGGAGAGCTGGACATTGAGCACGAGTCGACGCATGGTTTGAAAGCGCCGCCGGGCCAGCCACGCTTTGGCATATTTCTGCAGAACCACAACTTTGTGTTCCTCCATCATCTGTAAAGTTAGATGAAATCTCAGAGACGCAGAATCATGTTTTAATAAATCAGAGCCTAACAGCTCCTCTTAGTCTCAGACCTTCTTGTAGCGTTTCCTGGCCATCCAGCCTCTGGTGAAGGCTTGGATGGTGATGGAGGCCAGACGGAGGATCTGGTAGACCTGTCTGGTGCGGTAGCCTCTCCAGTGTCTCTGGATCACCACCACAGCCCAGCCCTGCTTCAGTATTTCAGCAGTCACCGTTTTACTGTCAATTTAGCAAAATCTGTTTAGTTCTGGCAACATGTTGCTCAACAGAACCCCAGGTACTGTAAGGGAACAGCCCTCACCGGATTGTCCTCTTTCCTCGGATGTACTGCTGGAGGATGATGGCTGCCTCTCTTATCCTCAGGTACTTCCTCCTGTGGCTCCATCCTCGGACATGCTTCTGAATGGTCACACATGCTCCCCGCAGTCGATCCAGACGCAGCTTCTCCAGGTAAGCTACCTGTCCGGCTCGGAAGAAGATTTTTGTACGGCCAAACTTGTACTGGTTGGAGTCCTGGAAATGAACATTTACAAACATTGGTCCTCCTGCAAGTCTTCAAAAGCTTTGAATTGACTGTTTGCACCTTTTGCTGGGAAAAACAACCAGTTCAAGGAAAAAAAAAAAACAAGAAAATACAAGAAAAAGTGTTGACATTAGCCTCTTTTTCTCTTAATAGAGGAAGTAATGGCGCAAAGTCTATTGTTGGCGCGCATCAAGGCGCATCAAAAGGTCCTGAAGCGCTTCTTAAGCAGCTGGAGCAAAGGATCTTGACGCATCTCACTGATCACAGCTAATATAGCAAAGCTGCTCTCTGGCATTGAATACAGGAGCAGCAGAAGCATCTGGACTGACTTTACTGGAGGTCTGACCTGAAGCATCAGAAATGAAGCAGCAGGAGCTTTTTTGTTTTTGAAATTGTTTGTGGTCTGAACGAAGCATAAGAACTTTGTTATTAATGTTTGCTAGAAAACCATAAATGAAGCATTATGAAGACCAAGAAGCATAGTAAACTGCTCAGAGAGGACGTTTAGGAAAAATGATAAGGTTTTTACAAGGCTAAACAAAGAGAGAGCTAATGACAGGCTCATGGCTGCTCTGGAGGAGCTGCAGGAACACACAGCTCAGGTAGGAATAACTATTATTCGTAACCTCCAAGATGTGGCATTAAGGAGAAGAGAAAAAAAACAACAAATGACTGAAATTGATTTAAAACACTTCCTGTTTGCCACAAACCACACATTTCCAATGTGTTTCTGATACAGGACACCAGCTGCAGATCTTTAGGAGAACTTTACTCAATACTGAGGTAATTTAGACAGCTGATTCAGGTGTGTTTGACCAGGGACACATCTGAAAATTGTAGGATCCTGTGGAATGGAGTTTAAAATGCCAAGTAGAGGACTAGTTAAACATCTACACCAAGATGCTTTGGTCAAATGGGCCAAAAACAAGCTGTGTTTAGTATACCAGACAGCAAACTGGCCAAAAGGTAAAACCCCATGTCCTAAACACGCTACTCTGAAACATAGAGGTGGGACTATCATGCAGCGAATGCCATGGAAATGGCATGTAGATGGAGCCGATCTCCAACAAACCATTGTGGCTTTCAGGAAAAACAGCCGTATTTGAAATTGTAACGATAATATATAGATATTTTTCTCAGTGTCCTGTCTGGCGGGCTGGCAATGAGAATAACTACCTTGATGCTAAAAAAAGAGCCTAATTTTGGCATCAATAGATTTTGCCTCGTTAGTGAAGCAGTACAGCTATCGCCATAGTGTTCCTCTTGATTTATGCATGTAAATAGCTTTATTATAATTAATGCAGGGAGTATTACAGGAAAAGGAAAAAGGAGAAAATATGAAAGAAAGAGGAGATAAAAGGGAGATAACGATAAAACATCTTCAGTCTGCTTCATCACCTGCAAAGAGATGGAAAAAGAACAGCACAACCAACGGATAAATTATAAGAGATCCAATAAAGTTGCACCTTGATGCTATCGCTGAAGTATAAGTAGTATTATTTAATCTGACATGTATAGAGCAGACTTTCTGTATGGAAGTGAATCTCTAAGTTCCTGGAGCAAAGCACCTGTAGTTGTTTGTGAGAGTGCACTGTGCATGTAAAGTTTATCCAGAGGGAAAATGTTTAATAGTGGTTGTGAAGAGCCAAAGACGCACCCCCCCAGAGCACCAAGGGAAGCGTCGGGGGACTCAAACCCCCAGACACCCAAAGGGATCTCCAGACCAAAGGCACCCAGTTTTATCTATAAAGCTTTAAAGATGTATATTTTATTATTTTTCTTCCTCTTCATTTCTATAAAGGACTTTGTCTTGGTCTGCTTAATAAAAATATCTAAAATCTGCAACTGAAATGCGACAATTTATAGAAACAAGTCTCAGGGGGTGGCAATACCTCCGGAATGAGCTGTGCACACAGTTTCCAATTGTTAGGAATCCAGTTTGTGTGGGTTGTGTTCTTGTGTGTATTCCCTCCACCACCAGGTGGCGCCTGGTTCTCGTTGGCCCTTTCATACACCTGGGGATGGTTGCCTCATTACCGGAGGACTCTTAAGCTGCTGACTGCCACTACCTCGACGCCAGAGTGTTTGCCAGTTTTGGGTACCCTAGCCAAGCTGAGTTTTGCTGAGCTTCAAACTGAGCTGGGGATTCAAACAGGAGGTTTGGATCTACTTTTCCCCAAAGGATTGTTTGAGCTTCACACTGAGCAGGGGATTCATCTCCACAAGAATCAGTTAAAGTACCATTGGAAATCTAAGTGGCAGTCAGCTCCTCCGTTCATCAAGGAAACACCTCAACCTGGGTAAACCCTGTCCGCCCTCCAACGAGCAAGTCAATTACCGGAACAACCCACACCGACAGGATTCAGAGAAAGACACCTTTACTGGAAACGTGAGTCCTGTTGCCTCTATTGCCTTTTGCAAATCGAAGCTAAAATTTCCCACAAAGCCTGAACTAACCACAGGAACTTCCCCTTCACTTTTCAGTCCCGGTTCGCCAGTGTTCAGAGCAGCACTGGACCCATCTCTACCAGCTCTCAATAAACCTGTTAAACCTTCCCTTAGTCTCTCCGTTTGGTCTTCCGCATGTGGGTCAGATCTTAGAATAAAATCATGACACCAATGAGCTTTCTAACTTAGAGATGCTTCATAACAATCATAGCGAACCTGAATCAATCTCTGCAGGACATTTTTACACGTTTCCTTTTTGTCAGTGAGGTCTGCCTCCAAATGTGACATCAGGATGCTGTATCGGCTGTAAAACTCAATGTATGTCCATCTGGAAACAAACAACAACAACAAAAACATCCGAGTCAGCAATGAGAGCTTAGAGACACAGATGTGTTGTAAACTTCACAAACAAAAGTCACCTGGATGGGTAGCTCTGTGCACTGATCCGAATAGTTTCCAGTACTCCACAGGCCCGCAGCTGCTGCACCACTCGCCCTGAGTCATATCTAAAAAAAACACAAAAACAAGTTCATCCTGTGGAAATTCTTTGGTGGGCAGAGAGAAAAATGTTCAAAACAGAGTTTCGCAAGAACGTACTCAAATGGGAGTTTCTCATCATTGGGCTTAATGCAGCGCACGTAGTGAGGTGTGGTGGCGTTCAGCGTCTCCATCAGTAAAGACAGGGAGCTGCAGAACTGCATCAATCCACAAAGTTTAGGATAAAGGTGCAAGAAATACTAACTTGGTTCCTTCTAGAATTAAAAACAAAGAGACCTTATTTCCCACTGAGGTCCTGAGCTGCTTATTGGCTGGTTTCACAGGTGGCCTGGCTGCTTTGACTCGGACGCCTTTACTGTTTGCTGAACTCTGCTCCTCCTCTTGGAAAAAGTTTGCTAGAAAAGGAAACTGATAACAGGCGCAAACAAAAAAAAAAAATCTCATAAGATTAGGGGGAAAACAAACAGTTGCTCCGCATAGCTTCTATTACAGAAACAGGATTTATGTTTTTTTTTAATGAATATTATGAATTAAGTTAAATATAAATTATTATAAATTAGTTCACCTTACTGGCTCTCATTGTGTCCACCAGTTCTTCATAAAGAGCATCTCTGTTCTTCTCAAGAAAACCTCTGCACTGGTATTCTACCTGCCAGCAGGAGATAGAAACAGGCGTCATCAGGTTATCCTGAGCTATCTCTACAGGTGCTGGTCATAAAATTAGAATATCATGAAAAAGTAGATTGATTTCAGTAATTCCATTTAAAAAGTGAAACTTGTATATTATATTCATACATTACATACAAACTCATATATTTCAGATGTTTATTTTGTTTAATTTTGAGGATTACAAATGACAACAAATGAAAATCTCAAATTTATCATATCAGAAAATTAGAATATTGTGAAAAGGTTCAAAATTGATGGCCCCTGGTGCCACACTCTAATCAGCTAATTAACTCAAACCACCTGCAAAAGCCTTTAAATGGTCTTTCAGTCTAGTTCTATAGGCTACACAATCATGGGGAAGACTGCTGACTTGACAGTTGTCCAAAAGACGACCATCGACACCTTGCACAAGGAGGGCAAGACACAAAAGGTCATCGCTAAAGAGGCTGGCTGTTCACAGAGCTCAGTGTCCAAGCACATTAATAGAGAGGCGAAGGGAAGGAAAAGATGTGGTCGAAAAAAGTGTACAAGCAAGAGAGATAACCGCACCCTGGAGAGGATTGTGAAACAAAACCCCTTCAAAAATGTGGGGGAGATTCACAAAGAGTGGACTGCAGCTGGAGTGAGTGCTTCAAGAACCACCACACACAGACGTATGAAAGACATGGGTTTCTGCTGTCGCATTCCTTGTGTCAAGCCACTCTTGAACCACAGACAGCGTCAGAAGCGTCTTGCCTGGGCTAAAGAGAAACAGGACTGGACTGCTGGTGAGTGGTCCAAAGTCATGTTCTCTGATGAAAGTAAATTTTGCATTTCCTTTGGAAATCAAGGTCCCAGAGTCTGGAGGAAAAGAAGAGAGGCACTTCATCCACGTTGCTTGAAGTCCAGTGTAAAGTTTCCACAGTCAGTGATGGTTTGGGGTGCCATGTCATCTGCTGGTGTTGGTCCATTGTGTTTTCTGAGGTCCAGGGTCAACGTAGCCACATACCAGGAAGTTTTAGAGCACTTCATGCTTCCTGCAGCTGACCAACTTTTTGGAGATGCAGATTTCATTTTCCAACAGGACTTGGCACCTGCACACAGTGCCAAAGCTACCAGTACCTGGTTGAAGGACCATGGTATCCCTGTTCTTAATTGGCCAGCAAACTCTCCTGACCTTAACCCCATAGAAAATCTATGGGGTATTGTGAAGAAGAAGATGCAATACACCAGACCCAACAATTCAGAAGAGCTAAAAGCCACTATTAGAGCAACCTGGGCTATCATAACACCTGAGCAGTGCCACAGACTGATCGACTCCATGCCACGCCGCATTGCTGCAGTAATACAGGCCAAAGGAGGCCCAACTAAATACTGAGTGCTGTACATGCTCATACTTTTCATGTTCATACTTTTCAGTTGGCCAACATTTCTATAAATCCTTTGTTTTTATTGGTCTTCAGTAATATTCTAATTTTCTGATATGATGAATTTGAGATTTTCATTTGTTGTCATTTGTAATCATCAAAATTAAACAAAATAAACATCTGAAATATATGAGTTTGTATGTAATGTATGAATATAATATACAAGTTTCACTTTTTAAATGGAATTACTGAAATCAATCTACTTTTTCATGATATTCTAATTTTATGACCAGCACCTGTATAGTTCTGCTGCTATAGGCTTAGACTGCTGGAGGACATAGGGATCCCTTTTTCATCATTCTGCTTCATTCTAGCTCTATTCTCCCACTCTGCAGAATCTGTTAGCTATACGGTGTTCTGTCAGATGAGCATACCCCGTCAGACCATCATACCTTTAGCCAATAAGCATGCGCAAGACGTCAGATTTGTGTTTATACCTTTTGTTTCGTACAAAAAATAGACTTTGAACTACCTCAATGGACGTGTATCGCTTAAGTCATTTAAAAAAAAAGCAATTTAAGATATGATTGCCATACGCTTTAAAAACACCAAAAAGTAAGTAATTAAATAGTTTTTTGTACATGACTAAAGGGATAAACGCTTGTTGAGGTAGTTAAGTTAAGCATTTTAAAATCTAAAGTACGTTTTTAAGTAGAGAACAACAATCGTTTAGTTTGGTATATAGAAAAATTTCTGATTCATATATTTTATCAAACACCTGAACTGATGGTTTGTTCTTTCCTTTCTTTTTTCTGTCTTAATGTTGGCAGTGGGCTTTAGGCTGCCCTGCGAGGCTTTAAACCTGGGTTTAACCGGAGACTAAGCCATTCTCAAGCACATATCAAGGAGCTCATTTTGAGCCTGGATCCAGATTTATTGTTGATTCTGTTCATGGTGGAGAATCCTGCTTCACAGCAGCAGGTTGAGCCAAACATCCTCTAAATGTGCAGGGTCATCTTTGAGCACGCCATTTCACTTTTCTTTCACCAGTTCACCGCAGTTCTTCCAGCAGTCCACGCTTTCTCTGCTCTCTTTTTCTCATGGTCTTCTCCTTCTTTCCCATCGCCCGGCTTGCCACAGGTTTGCCTGCTGTGTCTAAAAGTAGCAGCAGCAGCAACCCAGACTGACAGCAGCTCATTGGCTCATTTGGATCACGCGCAGCCTGGAGCCGGACGCTCCCCAGGGCTTTACCGTATTAACAGGAGAAGAGGAGCAAGTGAAATTAGACACTGTCTTCGGACAACATGCGGTAATTTATAAATGTTTTAAATCAGGTTTGATCCGGATCCAGACCCTGGTCCGCTAATCTGTGACCTCTGAACTAAAGGGATAAACTTTAGTTTGGCTATAGGTATGCTGGTCTGACAGAACACCGGGTCCATAAAATTATAAAAACATTATATATGGTTGGGGTGAGTGGTATTTGAAATCCAAGCAGAGAAACGCTCAAACGTCAAGAAACATTTCTTGTTGAACACTTAATTTTATCAAATATGGAATCATGTTTTATCATCATACATCTATTTTGTGGGAAATTAATTCACAGGATCATTTCTTATTTTGTTTGGATCAAATTTTTTTTCCTTTTTTGACAGACAGACCGTTCTCTCACTTGCAGGGAAGAATTGTTCTTTTAACTTTATAGAAAATAAAAGGGAAGCAAATCCTGGGATCTTTTCTGGAATACCGCTTTATCTTACCAGATTACAGCCTCAGGAGGAGAACGCAGCCATTAAGCTCACAGCAGTGCAACAATATGGGCAATTCTAGCACAGATTATATTTATTTACAGAGAGACATTATGTGGACACTGGATCACTGTACTCCACCTTGTCTGCAAAGTGTTGAATCACAAATGCCTCATTTGATAACCTGGGTTTCTCAAACAAGGGATTGGCTTCCAGGTAGTTATACAGCTTCTGTAACCAGCTCTGATCAGTTCCCTGAGGAAACTGAGAAAACATAAACATTTGTTAGAAACTGATCAAAGATCCCAAAAGAGGTTTTAAAAGGTCTAAAATTCTTACTAAACATTCTTCATCCAGAAGGTCAAGGATCCCCATTTTTGCTTCGATCAGATCAATGACGGGTTGATTATCATAAAAGTCTATTAGTGTCCAGGGGATGTCCTCCTTCATGTACTCCTCTTGCTCCAACTTGAAGACATGCTGAAAGGGAAGAGACATCGAAGTGACTCTTAAAGGGGAAAACTCAGCATGTAGAAGCAGCTACTGAGTGGAAATTTGCTTCATACCAAGTTAAACTGCTGCTGGAGCTTTTCGTTTGCATAGTTGATGCAAAACTGTTCGAAGCTGTTGATGTCAAATGTTTCAAATCTGAGGACCAAACGAAAAGCAATGTGATGAGGAGAATCAAAGGAAGAAAGCACTAAAGAAATATGAAAAGAGGTGTGGTTTTGCAGCACCCGTAAATGTCCAAAACACCAATGAAGGCGTGTTGTTTTCCTGGAACCTGCAGCGCCGTGTTGATCCTGGTGATGATGCAGTCAAACAGGTGGGCGTAGATCTGCTTAGCCAGAGCATCTCTGGCGGCCATTGCTCTCTCTTTCGGCACCGGCTTTACCACCGTTTCGCTCACCAGAACGATCCGGCGATGACACAGCCACCGCACCAGTTCAGATGGACTCACAGACAGCAAGTCACAGAACGCCGCCAGGTGGGGATCGTTCGACTGCAAGACACACGGTTTTTCAATTTCACCTGGAAGCTGATTCTAAAATCAGCTTAGATTTAATTTAAGATAAAGCACTCACAGGAGCAGATGACCTGTCATCCCCAGAGCTCCTGATCTCCACGTTCCCCAAATGCAAAATAGCAGCTATAACTTTAAACACATCTGACTGAAAGTCCTCTTTTAAACCTGCCACAGAGAGGTCAGGAAAAACACCTTAAAAGCAAGAAATTAAGATGTAACACAATGAAATTAGAGGCCTGAAAGTTTACCCAGAAGGGAGAAGGTACGACGAGTCTCCTCCATGTCCTTTTTATCGTCTACGCCTTCGATAGTTACGTCTCCACCCATGCTGGTGTACCTGAACTCATCTGCACTCACTACAAAAAAAATAAAAAAATAAGAACGCTGAAAAAAGATGCAGAAGTCAAACGTTTTTAATTTGCTACGTAAAAATAGCACAAAATGTTAAGTGTTTTAAAAGTTTTTTCATGTTTTTTTAGATGTGATTTTTCAAAAACGAAAACTAAGGGGAGAGACGCACAGCTGACATCGATACTTTATTACTGTAGCTGTGTGTTGTGAGGTTTACAGTGAAACAAAAAGGCAGCAGTCAGAGAGAAACAATGACTCAGCAGAAACACTCACGCAGTCTGAGGGTTTTAAACTCTGCTGAGTCTGCGCAGGAGCACATCTGGTAGAATATGTGGTAGTTGCGTTCATTCTCTGCCTACAGAAAAAAAGACAAATTATGTGATTCAAGACTGCAACTAAAATTATTTTGCAATCCATTAATTAATTAATAATCGATTAATAATCAGATAGCCAAAGGTTCCTTAAAGAAGACTTTTCACAGAATTAAAGAGGTGAAAGAAAAACTTTTCCACTTGAAGAGTTTTGGACTTTAGTACGGAAGAGGATTAGGGCCACTGAAGAAAAAAAAAAATAATAATAACTTAACTGATTTTTAAATTTTATTTCAGTTTAGTATGGGAAAAAAGTCAGAATTCTGACTTTATTCTCAGAATTCTGACTTTTTTCCCATACTAAACTGAAATAAAATTTAAAAATCAGTTAAGTTATTTTTTTATTTTTTCAGTGGCCCTAATCCTCTTCCATGCTTTAGAGCAGTTTGACAAACTGAAAAGATTTTTTATCTTAAATGCAAAATGTTTAGATATTTTTCTTTACAATTTTTATATAATTGCTGCTCTAAATGGTTCACTCTGTCAGCTAAAGGCACGTTTTAGAGTCTCTATACTCCAGTTAATGATTAATCGATTACTAAATTAGTTCGATTAATCACGATTAATTGTAAAAAAAACATTTGAATTTCATGCTAAAACAGACATATATTGTCCTGCACTTTACCTTTGTCATATTTTATCATGTTACAACCACAAATATCACAGTGCATGTGTTCACAAAGTAGCACACAGTATTATATGGGGAGAAAAATAGAGTTTAATTTCTTACGGTCTGATATCTCTGATTAAAACTGCCCTCCATTTATAGCCACCTAACAGGTAGAATCCACCTGGGGTCCGTTTTATGAAGCCGGTTTACTGAAAACAAGATGTCTAAACCTGAAAAAATGGAAACTCTGACTTTTCCGTTTCACTGAGACTTTACTCAACCTCTGTTTCTGTTGCCATAGTAACACCCGACCAGAGCTAACCTGGTCAGCAGCTGGTTTTCTTCAGTAAACTCAGAGTGTCCTCTGTCTCCGCTCTACTACCAGCTGCTTTATTTCCTGATTTAGTCGCATTTTTTGTCGTAGTTTTTTGTCATTTTCACCTGCTGCCAGAAGATTTCCCCTAAATAGATACATTGTCTCTACTATCATTCAAGAAATAATCCTGCAATATTTTCACAGTAAGAACCTCTATGGCAAGACAGTTCGATATGTGCCAGTTTTACTGAATATGTATTCCTGATATCTGTAAAAAAAAAAAAAAAAAAAATGTTTTTGTCTAAATGACCATTTTAAACAAAATGACATTCTCCACATCTAGAATAAATATTCTGGAAGTCTAGAAATTAATTTCAGATCTCCATCTTCCTAATATTACTGGTCAGCATTGGTATTATTTTAACTATGAAAACATGTTTTTCAGATATCATAAATATATTTTCAGTCAAGCTGATAAATGTCAGAACGGCCACTTAAAATGTGTAAACATTTGTGTTTTTTTACTTTCTAAAATTCAGTTTTTGTTACAGTAATTTAGAAAATATATTATTACAGTTAGGTCTACAACTAGAACCACAGAGAGGAGTGCTTTTAATAAATGTAAAAATGGCCTGCCATAGCCAATTTGTGTAAATTTACGCATTAACTGAAGCAACGATCTTCTCCTTTGCCATCTTCCTCTAGTTTGTAGCATTAGCGCTGTTTCTCTAGCTTTTACATACATTCTCCTTTTTTTTTTTGCATTAAAAACCTCTAGTTCCGGTGAGCTGAAAGAAGCACTTCCTGTTTGCTGTTGTCATGGTGACTCGTCGAATCGGGGCTTCACTGATAATGGATTTTCATACTTGTTGCGCACGCGCTAAACTGTGAGTGGACTTAGGACTTTAGGCTAGATCTATTTAGGGTTGCGGATTTGAAACCGAATTTGTTAACCCTGCTTCGTGAAACGAACCCTGAGCTGTGAAGGCCTCAGAGGTTTGTGGGGAAGCATTAGAGGATAATAAAAAAAATAAAATAGGACAAGAGCTATGGAAGAAAAACCTCTGCAAAGAGAGTCTTAAATAGAAGCTGCCAACAGACCCGGGGAAACTCTGGAGGAGCTTCAGAGGTCTGCAGCTCAGGTGGAACAATCTGTTGTCAAAGCAACTGTTAACTTTAATGTCTGTGAGTCTGGGAGAAGTCTTAACACCAGTTTGCAACACAAGGTATGTAAGAGAAACAGGAAACAGAAAAATGTTTTGAGATCAAAAATAAAAACCTCTAAAAAGTAACAGATAACTCTGATTTTCTGATTGTTGTCTATAAATATATGAGGAATTTAGGGCTGAAACAATTAATCTAATTAATAAAATTTTTGAAATATTAAACTAATTTAATCATTGATTAATCGTAACTGGAATATAGAAACTCTGAAACATGTCTTTAAAGATTTTAGGGCGACCCACTTAGAGCAGTAATTATACTATATATATTATATATTGTAAAAAAAACTTTTTTTCTATATGATAAAAACATTTTCGACTGTCAATCTGCTCTATAATCCAGAACTCAGTGAAAAGTCTTCATTAAGGAACATTTTGCTATCCGATTATTAATCAATTAATTGAAAAATAATCAGCAGATTTATCAATTTGCTAAATAACGGTTGTTTGCAGCCCTAGAGGAATCCCTCTTTAGACCTACCTGAAAAACCACTCTGGATTTCTCCAAGAGGTAAGTCCTCATGTTCGCTCCGATGATTCGATACCTCCGGTCAAAACTGATCTCTGTGTATTTTCCAAACCTGCTGCTGTTGTCATTACGGGTGGTTTTTGCATTTCCTATTGCCTGATAATAATAAAACAAATTTAGGATTTCTTTTTTTACTAGAACATGTTTTACAGAGGTTCCAGTGAAACCATACCTCTGTGATGGGATTGGAAGCCAGCACTTTGTCTTCTACTCGAGTATCACTTCCAGATTTGCTCACAACAGCAAAGTACCTCATAGCATAACGTGCCGATACGGTTTTACCGGCTCCAGACTCCCCGCTCACAATGATAGACTGGTTTTTATGATTCCTGTGGGCAAAATGGCAATATTAGCTGCTACAAAATGAAATGTATCTGCTGCCTATATATAACTAGTATAGTGACAATAAAAGCCTAAAGGGGTGATAGAATGTGGATTTCACAAAAAAAAAAAAAAAAACTGAGACAGAAACAATGATTATTAATTATGATTGCTCAATCATTGAAATAATCAGCAACTACTTTAGTAAATTTGTCTTTGACTTAAGTGTGTAGAGAACAAAAAATGCCATTTAAAAGAATAATTCAATTTAATTTATTTCTATAGCTCCAATTCACATCATGTCATCTCAGGTCACTTTCCAGTTCACCAGATCATCCAGTCAGATTGATTCAAAGTTTTCTATCTAAGGAAAACCAGCTGATTGCATCGACTCATTGACTCTTCAGCAATCCCTCACACTAAGCATGCTTGTAGCGACAGTGGAGAGGAAAAACTCCCTTTGAACAGGAAGAAACCTCCAGCAGAACCAGGCTCAGTGTGAGCGGCCATCTGCTGAGGCCCACTGGGGTAATAATAATAATAATAATAATAATAATAATAATAATAATAATAATAATAATAATAATAATAATAATAATAATAATATTCTAGTCAGAAACCAAAACCACTAAAAAAAAAACATTTAGCATTTAACATGAAAAAAAATCTCTAAATATATTCTGTCCTGAACTCCTGAGGTTGCAAAATGTTAGCTTCACCTCATTTACATTCTTTAAAAGAGCTCCTTAAGAAATGTTTGCTATCTAATTCCCATTTATTTAAATAAGTAGTCAACAGATAAATAATCATTATTGCAACCTTGCATCTAGAAATCATGTGATAGATGATTGACTTCTGAAATATGAATCTAACTTTATGTATTGTAGATAAATGTACATAAATCTTAAAATGTGGGTGAAATATTTCTGTAAATCCATAACGTGGCATTGAAGGCAGCCTGAAGGTATAAATAATGGAAGAAAGAACCAAGCAGTTATATTAGTGTGACATCAGCAGAGGCATGACTTAGCAAAGGTTGGTTTTCTAAAGCAAAGCAAAGTCTACCTTATAGCTTTAATGTTCCGAGTGTTGTAGAATATCATTACCTGGCCATTTGTTTGTAGGCTTCCTCAGCCACAGCGAATATATGGGGGTCCATGTCTCCCATGTTCTGGCCTGAATAGGCATGAATAATTGCGTCGCCATAGATGGGAAGCTGCTTATAAGGATTTACAGCAACCAGAATAATACCTGAAAAAGACAAACCGGATGAGCTTGATCCAAAAAGCACAACCTGGCATCCCATCGCAGAATTATGGATAAAAAATATACAGAAATTTACATTTACTACAGCACCATGCAGTTATCGCCATAGTTTTTCTTTTATGTACGTTTTATGTACTCCTTTGATCCCCGAGCCATCAAGCTGTACAACTCCTCATTTGGGGGAAGGAGGAGGCTACGGAAGAGGATTAGGGCCACTGAAAAAAAAAGTTAACTGCTTTTTAAATTTTATTTCAGTTTAACATGGGAAGAAAGTCAGAATTCTGACTTTTTTCCCATACTATACTGAAATAAAATAAAAAAAATCAGTTAACTTTTTTTTTTTTTTTCAGTGGCCCTAATCCTCTTCAGTAGGAGGCAGAGGCGTAGCCAGAACATTTTAATAAGGGTGGGGGGGTCGAAAACGGATAGGCGCCAGAACAAATATACACTCTTTTTATATTGTCTGTTGTATTTTTTGCTTTAACATTTTGTACTCTATATAATCTACTGGAACCAGAATTTCCCTGAAGGAATAATCCCAAGGGATAAATAATAAAGAGTCCAAGTCTTAGTTGTGTTTTTAGGGTGTTGGAAAGTATTTGTTTTCTTTAACTCAGAGAATTGTTTATATATGTGGGGAAAAAACAACAAAAAGCAAAAAAAAAAAGAATTTTTAAGTTTAGTTTTTAGATGATCTGCTATCATTTTTCTTTCAATGAGTTTTTATAATCCTACTGGTTTTCTAAAAAATCTCTAATGCCTTCAAAGAACATCTCCCATTATCATACATTTAATTATACTTATTTGGATTTATTAGGCGAGTTCTGAACGCTCGACTCTGTCTCAACAAAAATCGAGCATTAATATTTTTCCATGACCTTGTTGTTGAGTTGAGAATTAAATGTTTCTATTGGGTTTTTATTCTCCAGGTACAGCAGAATTAGCTTCAGTTTTACATTGTTAAAACATTTTACAGTGCAGTATTTTATTGGTTATCTTTTAACTCTTATCTATTATGCTTTTCTTATTAGGGATGCACGATATAATCGGCCCTTTATCGGTATCTGCCTTAAAACTGAATATCGGACATCGGCCAGCCCACCGATATTTAACCCGATATTTGATCAGCTTCTGAGTTTCTAAAGTTTAAATAAAAAATAAAAAATACTACTTCTTCTTCTTCCTCAAAAACTTCTTTTTTACAGACTTAAAAACTTCTAAAGACGAGGGAAAAAATATTGACACATTAAAATATCCCAATATCTTCATATGCTGATATATTGCCATTTAAAAACACCATATCAATCTCTTTTACTAATGAAATATTGCTGTATGTCATCGTTATGCTACGAAATCCCCCGAAAATTCACGGGATTTGGCCATATCTTTATATGTTGATATATTGACGCGGTATCGATCTATTTTACTAACAAAATCTCACAAGAATTTGCAAAATATCACGAGAGTTTGTAACAGAACGATGAAATTTCACGAGATTTTGAAAGTAAAATAGATCGATACCGCGTTTTTAAAAATCTATTTGATATCAGCATATGAAAATATATTTGAGTATATTATTTTTCAAAGTGTCAGAAATGGATAACAAAACTGCTATTTTCAATGACTACTTATTTTTGTCCAGCTTTAACATCGGTATCGATATCGGTTATCGGCTACATGAGTTTTAAAATATCGGCATATCGGATATCGGCCAAAATCCCAATATCGTGCATCCCTATTTCTTATACATTTTTCTAAGGTCCACAATTTTTGATATAATCTTTTTGCTGCTGTAAACACCAGAATTTCCCCATTGTGGGACAATAAAGGGATTTTTCTGTTCTATTCTCTCGTACCACAGTAGGTATAGATGATCCTGGACTCGACGAATCGGACTTTGAGGTTGTGCAGTACTGCGGGCTCGTGCAGGTAGCTGAGGGCTGTGAGGTCGTTCTCGCCCACCAGGATGTCTGGGTTTCTAAGAGGCGGCAGATTCGGTTTGGAGGGATCGACTGGGTAGAGGTGCACCTGTGGAGAGATAAATCCCACAGTTAGGTCAGCTGCTCATTTTCACATATGGGGATTCATTAGAGCTGCATTCGACGCTTTTATTAGTGAGATTTAGCTCACAGTGCCGTCTTCAAGGAGCAACTGAAGAACATTATCTCCTGAGTGGAAGTCTTTGGTGATTTCAGCTGATTTCCAAACATGTTCTTCATCCAGTATCCAGACTCTGTTGTACTGAGAGAGATGGTTCAGAGAGTGAAAGCAAAAATAATGATGTCATTTATTAGTGCTTTGAGTCTCACAGGAAAATGTTTAACAGGGAACTTTGAAGGGCATTTAAATTGTACAGGTGGATTTTCTATAAGACTGGAACTGCATCACATCCCCAAACACTGGGAAAGTTTCCATATGTCTGTATGATCTGCAAATATATCAAACATATGTTGTTGTAATGATCAGATAAGCGTAATGCTCTTACCTTGGTGTATAACTCAGATAAAGCCATGTTTGGCCTTCAGTTTTCTCAGGTTCTGTTCGCACCTGCAGCTTTCCTGGACTTTCTAACTTACCATTAAAGTCTCACAGTGACGTCACTTGTTTCTAACAACTCTAGGACAATCACTAACCATGCTTCCCAAAAATAGCGTCCAACTTCCGGGCAATATTTTCACAATAAAGGTTCCATTCAAAGGACTGAAAATGTCAGCCTGTTCTAGGCTTACAGATATGATCACTATGGTCAGTATTTTTTAAATCTGCTCCAAACACATTATCTCTGCAAATGACCTAGAAAAAAGTCCCATTGGGTTTTAAAATAGTAACAAATTTTAGTATCAGCAAATATTTACGAATAAAATCAGAAGCAAAATCATGACTTTTGGTTGTTGTGCAAATTGCACCAATGGTCACTGTCTGGTTATTCATTTAAACAATTAAAAATAAACAATCTTCCTCACTTATCTTAATCACTTTTTTTTTTCATTTTTATTTACTATGTGTTTAAGTTACCATTGTTATAATTCTTTAAAGTCCAAATAGAATTTCATTGGGATAAAGTTGTACTGTTTTTCCATAATTGAAATACATTAAATAAGTAGGGATGCACGATATAATCGGCCCCCTATCGGTATCGGCCTTAAAAATGAATATCGGACATCGGCCGCCCCACCGATATTTAACCCGATATTTGATCAGCTTCTGAGTTTCTAAAGTCTAAAAAAAATAAAAAATACTACTTCTTCTTCCTCAAAAACTTTTTTTTTTACAGACTTAAAAACTTCTAAAGACGAGAGAAAAAATATTGATACATTAAAATATCCCAATATCTTCATATGCTGATATATTGCCATTTAAAAACACCATATCAATCTCTTTTACTAATGAAATATTGCTATATGTCATCGTTATGCTACGAAATCCCCCCAAAATTCACCAAATGTTGCCATATTTTTATATGTTGATATATTGACGCGGTATCGATCTATTTTACTAACAAAATCTCACAAGAATTTGCAAAATATCACGAGAGTTTGTAACAGAACGATGAAATTTCAACAGATTTTGAAAGTAAAATAGATCGATACCGCGTTTTTAAAAATCTATTTGATATCAGCATATGAAAATATATTTGAGTATATTATTTTTCAAAGTGTCAGAAATGGATAACAAAACTGCTATTTTCAAAGACTACTTATTTTTGTCCAGCTTTAACATCGGTATCGATATCGGTTATCGGCTACATGAGTTTTAAAATATCGGCATATCGGATATCGGGCAAAATCCCAATATCGTGCATCCCTAGAATAAAGTATTGAAAAAAAATCATCATGGGACTTTGTGTTTAAGGAATTTAAGTAATGTGAATGGATGAAAATAAATATTAAAACCAAATACATGCATCCATTCTCTATGACCCCCATCTATGCAGAGTCATAGGAGCCACTCTACCAAAATAAAGGTCATTTGGGGAAACCAATTAGGATTTCAGGAAATCCTATACACTACTGTTTATGCTCTAAAAACATTCTAAATGACTTCGTTTCGAGTAAATTATGGACGCTACCCACTCAGGACACTTGGAATACATTGGACGAGCAGTATGGAGGAATATTGACACGTTTTTTGTGGACTTTTATGGACTTTTCTGTCTCGGGCGCTATGGACCTCCATTATTTGAATGTCAGCAGACAACAAGAAGCCTCCCAGATCTCCAGATGCATTTGAGATATCAAAAAAGTACTCCAGAGTGTTGTTCAGCATGGGGGGGAGTAGAAAATGAAGGCTAATCATGTTTTGGGTGTACTATTCCTTTAACCATTATGTACAGAGTATGTCTGCTTCTGTTTCCTTGAACCCCAGTGGGCCTCAGCAGATGGCCGCTCACACTGAGCCTGGTTCTGCTGGAGGTTTCTTCCTGTTCAAAGGGAGTTTTTCCTCTCCACTGTCGCTACAAGCATGCTTAGTGTGAGGGATTGCTGAAGAGTCAATGAGTCGATGCAATCAGCTGGTTTTCCTTAGATAGAAAACTATGAATCAATCTGACTGGATGATCTGGTGAACTGGAAAGTGCCTTGAGATGACATGATGTGAATTGACGCTATAGAAATAAACTGAATAGAAATTTAGGAGCAATGGACGTGGGAAAGGTGTCATCACAGAAAATTATATTCAGCCGCGTAAACTTTATTTAAAAAAAAGTCATGAGTTTTATTTTGAAACGTCCAGAGGAACCTGGCCTGCTTCCTGTAATTAACCTCGGGACTTTGACTGGCCCCGCCCACCTGTCTCATGACAGCGGCTTGACTCAGAGGGTGTGCTCGTTTTATCAAGGATCCTCACCACAAAGAAACCGGATCCAAACCTCCAGATCTCCTGAAGCATTTAGGGCATTTTTTCCCAAAGAAAGAGTTTAATCATGAATATAACAAAAAAATCAGAAAACAAACCATAATCTTATAATAAAGTGAGAACCAGGAATCCAACAGGAAATTAAAGTGTTTTACGAGGAAACGTGAAAAAAAGTTAAACTAAAACATATCATTAAAAAATATACAGATTCGCTTTTTAATTTTGGACAGTAAAATATCCAAATTGGTTATCTAGTTTTTTTGTTTTTCTTTTTCTTTGCTTTAGCTCATTTGCAACAACTATATATCGTTTCAAACGTTACAAATAGTGTTATTAAAACTTTCATTTTTTTCCCTTTTCTTTGAAGCGTTTCGCGTTGATAGTCTCACAGGTTACTGACACCTGCTGGACATTTAAAGACACTACAAGCAGCTGATATGACAGACTAAACTGAATTGATTTGATGACCGAATACAATGATATCATTGAAGTTATTGTAGGTTATATTGTATTATATCATATCTATTAAATTAAAAATATCTTGGATATTTTTAGATGCAGTCAATAAATAATGTAAACATAACGGGAGAAATTAGGGGAAAATGCAAATGAGGATGCTGGTGGACTATGATTTTAAATCATAATTTTAAAGCAATAAAAATAGTAAACAAACTAAGAGTCAGTTTTAAATTAACTGATACAGTGTTTGCTCTATGGGTTCCACGCATGCACTGACACATCGGTGCTGCTGGACTCATCATAAGACGCCGATCAAAACATGTCAGCCATGAAACACTTTGGGTCAGGACGATGTTTCTTCATCCACACTTTAAATAAACACTGTAAAAGGTTTCTATCTTCTCATTAGTGGCCTGTAGGGGGTTAAGTTTGAGCTTTTAATGATGCATTTAGAGTCTTTGAATATGCAGCGTTCAACTTTAAATAACTTTAAAACAAGAACTGAGTCTGTTTAATGTATCTATATAGATATAATGAGTTCCTTTAACCCATAATGGTGAAAATTATACATGAAAGCAAAAATACATACACCTCCATTATAATTAGACAGGAATCTCCAAGTCTCCAAAAATCTTCTGGTCTAATATTTGATCAGTTTGTTTTAATGAAACAGTTGATTTGAGCTGGTTGGTTTCCTGGTACAGAGCTGCTGTTCTGTTTCAGTAGGTCGAGATCAGGCACTTCTACATCTTGTTTTTTTATTCACGTCAAAACCAGAGATAAGAAACGTTATGCAAGTGGCAGAGGTCGAATCTAGACTCGGATGAGGAAGCCCAGATTGAGGCTGGTGGGGATCTGAATGCTCTCCAGAGGCACAGGGGAAGGGCTGAATGGGAACGTCACAGAGAAGATTTTCTTGGCATCCATCATTAGGCTGGAAGATTTATCTCTGACTTTCAAAATGTTCTAAAGAGCAAAGGAAAAAAATAGTTAAATACTTATCAAATGCAAGCTGAACAATAAAATATTGCTGATTAAGGCCTCACTTTAATAGTGGTGATGAAGGAGTTGGACACTCTTTCTTCAAACTCAATCACCGGGGTGTACAAGGTAAGGATTTTAACAATCTGCCCAAAAAAAAAATATATAAAAAATCAGAAACTGTGTGAAATATCATAGAGATTTTAGATTTACTAAGGCTGGACCTGTGCTGAGGTGAGGGAGGAGCACATGCTGCAGATTGCCTGGGCATCAGCTTCAGTGCTCTTCTTGATTTGTAAAAGCTGTGCAGCTTGAACAAGAGGCTCCAGAGTTTCCTTTGCACCGCAGTCAGTCAGCTCCCTCTCTGCCAGCCACTCCTCAAGCTGCCAAATGTTGTACCTGTGGCCAGACAGGTGGACAAGAGACAGGTGGAGTTAAAAACAGATAAAAGCACCTTGAAAGCTGTATTTTTCATACTTAATGTCAATCAATTACCATTACGTAGCGTTTTGTTTTTCTGGAATTACCTGATCTGTAGGCCTTTACCCCATGAACACATGTCCTTCCTCAGCAGCAGATTGTTAAGGGTCACGGCGCAGATGATGTAAAACTGCTGTCTGACCACCTGTTTGATGACGTCGGAGTCCATCCCGTGTTGACTCATGGTGGTGTGGAAGAAGCTGAGACGCTGCAGCAGGACTTCCACAGTCACGGCATCCTCAGGGAAACTGGAGCTCCTCTTTCTCAGGCCTGTTGGTTTGGAGCCTAAAACTCCTTGTACGTTCTCGTGCTCCAGCATGCACGATACTGCAAACATAACAATGATACAACTGCCTTCAAGAAATTATTCAGAAAACTTTGAGTTTTTCACATTTTTATCCTGTCAGAACCTCAAATGTCACTGAGGGTTGCTCAGACAGACCAGCGATGATGCAATCTGCATCGTTTCTCATCCAAGGAGCCATTTTACTCAGATCAGATAGATTAAAGTCGGTGACAGCTGCTGATACTGGATACTGTTAGCTTCGTGAGACCATCCTGATCTCGCGAGCTTTCAAGGTTTCACTCGCAGATCAGTCTGGAGACTCTCCGTTAAAGAAAATTTGGAGCCGTTCACCAAACGAACGTCCAATCAGCGTTGGCTTTGAGGCGGGTTGAGGTGTGACGCAACGAGAAGCGCGACAGTTCAGTCTAAAGAACATGGCGGCTTCAGCCGATGAAACTAGCGTTAGCGTGGCTATCGAGCAAGTTTTATCGGAATTACAGAGTATTTCTTCACTGAAAGAAGAGCAAAACACTGCTCTGGAGGCTTTTCTCAGAGGAAAAGATGTTTTTGCTCTTCTCCCGACTGGTTTCACCAAGAGTTTGATCTATCAATTGGCTCCTCTTCGTCGTCGCTCTGTTAGTACGTCATATGCTTCGTTGATCTGATTGGTTTATTTGGCCCGTCTATCACCAACATAGGCCAATCAGCTAACCAGTATTTTCGCCCCTTCCCAAAATTACTTCAACGGAAAGTTGCCAGATGGATATGCGGAGCAAATCCATCTGGCAGAGTCAGGTTAGGATACTTGACCTTAACATAAAACATATCTTGATTTCTTTTTAAATATCTGCAATAGGAAACTGTTGCTATTTTAAACAAAAAACAGTTCATTTGCATTTTTAGTTTTTTAAATAAGGACAAAACATGAAATTGTCATAAAGAGGAAGCATGCAACTTGGACTTTTGTCCATTGGATGTTAATTTATGTAAAAAATAAAAATAAACATTGTCCGAGCTAATGACAAGCTAAAAACATATCTCTAATGACATTTTGTTGTGAAACTTGCGGAAGAGGATTAGGGCCACTGAAAAAAATAAAAATTAGCTGGTTTTTAAATATTTCAGTTTAATATTGGGGAAAAAGTCAGAATTCTGAGTTTAAAGTCAGAAGTTAAACTCCTGCACGCTCTCAGACCTCTTAATAAGCGTTCCTATGTAGCAGCAGGTACAGGGTTGTGCAAAGTTTTAAAGTAGAGAAGTCTTTTAAAAAATTCTCGAAAATCCTCCACAATACCTTTAAGCTTTTACTGAAGAATATCATTAAAGCCTTTTTATTCAGACATCGTTTGATGAGCAGATTGACGCCTCGATGATTCAGCTCTGATGAACAGCTCATTTCCCTGAATTTACTTAGGGTAAGAGGTTCCTGTGCTGTTCGCCGATTGTACCGTCAAACGCATCCATGTTAAAAGCGTCCGACCTAGCAAATAACCAAACTGTTTTATTGAAGATGGATTTTGTGGATCTTTGGAAGCTACCAGCATCCAACTCAACTTAGAAACCGATGAAAACATAAAGTAAGGTAAAAAAGTAAAAAATAAAAATTTTCATGTGAATGTGCTTTACTGGAGGCATCCATGTTTGTCAAAGAACACTACTGCCACCTACTGGTTAGTGACATCACGGTGCGGTATCGGCTGTTGATCAAGTCCCAGTGCTGTATCTGGTGTTTGTCACAACGCGCTATTATCCAAGTCATCTTGAAAACATTCTTCTTCCAAATGTTGGCTACATATTACGGGTTTTTTCTCTGGCCAGAAGTTCGATGGCAAATCCTCCCTCTTCAAGTTGGCGATCCAACGACCAACCCGTCCGTGGAGGATCAGGAATCAGAAAGGTGGAATAACTCTTTTCACTTTTACCCGATGTATTCCAGCATCCAGCTGCCATGCACGTGGGCATTGTCAGTTTCACTATAGCTCTGGTGAATTTCAATGGTGAAGTCCTCTGGAAGTCTTCAATAATTGTTGTCGATTGCAGATGTGTCTAGTAGTTCCCATTGATTTAGCTTGGAAAGCGGGGAGAATGGCGCTAGGCTTACCGCACCGTGACGTCACTGCTGGAAGATGGCAGGAGGGAGGGGTTACTATATTTGGGCAAAGATGGCCGCTCCCAGACTCAGTGATCGCTACAATAATTTTTTTACTGATTAATGCTAAATTCATTAAATGACGGCGAACGTATTAGTTTTAGATATAAATAATAATCCATTGATTATTCCTTGCTGACTGGACTTCTCTTTTAAGACACAAATGGACTTTTTGCTCATCAGGTAGCTTCAGACTCTGGATCTTAATCAGGGATTCAAAGTAACGGGGATTACAAAAAAATTATTACCAAATTGAAAAAAAAAAAAGGTAAAAAAATGCACCTTTTCATTCCACATCACATTATGTTCTACTCAGTTTCATTAAATTAACATGAATACATTAAATGTTGTGACTATAACACTGAAAGTCGTTATGCCTTCTCACCTATCAGGGGGAGCAGGATGTTCTCCATGCTTTTGATGAGCTGACGGTAAATTTGGATGGCCAGGTCACCAAACAGCTGATGGTACTCACACAGCTCAAAGTTGGCCAGGCATTGCTTGTTCTGCTTAGCAGTGTTGTGCACCGTAAACGCCTGCAGAACAGATGGTTTACATCAACATATAAAGCTGGTTAAGAACCATGAAGGGGGCTTTCACCCTTCTGATGCTCACCTCCTCCCCACTGTACTGCTTCAGACAGTGCATTAACCGACACGCGTTGGCCAACCAGAAGCAGACAACTTCAAAATCGTTTCCTTTTCTCTGCAGCAACAATTGAAGTCAGTGTAACTTAAAAAAACAACAAAGCATAACATTAGTTCAGCCGATCATAGACGTCACCTTGATGACTCCTTTGATGCTGCTGATGGTGGAGTTGAGGAGAGTGCTGAGTCTCCTGTCGTCGTTGACGTTGTCCGCATAGCGAACGCACATGAAGATGATGAAGGCAGGAAGCCCTGGAGTGAAGCTGACGGCCACGCCACGGGGCTTCAGGTCTGTGGAGATCAGAGTTCAGTGGACGGATCCTTCATCCCTCCATATGAAGCAGACGTGCTGCTTTGACAGACCTAAGACCAGGTTCTTTAACAGGCGTCCCGCGTCGGCCTCCTTGAACTCCAACATGCCCTGGAACTCCTTCTCCTTGCGGGTGATGTGCACCTGTGTGACAGGGGTGCTCGTCACAGAGGAGGTGTTCATCTGATGAGCAACTGCTAAAGTAAACAGAGAAATTACATATTAATATATATATATATATATATATATATATATATATATATATATATATATTTTTTTTTTATTTTTATTTATTTTTTTTAAACTGAGTTATTATGTTCAAACCTGATTGAATTAAATTACCTTCCAGATCTTCCACTTTTTTCATGTAGAGTTTAAGCTGTTTTTTCAGCTTGCGAATCGTTTTGTCTTGTTTTTCTTGTTCCTCCATTCGTTCCTAAAATCATCCAAGGACAAATAAGTTCACTGGAAAAACTATCTAGAAATAAGTCAAGATTTCTTAAATTAAGTGTATTTACCCTTAATTTAAGTAGGTAAATGAGATAGTTTGGCAATGGAATGATACGTTTTACTCTTAAGACAAGATAATTAGCTAATATGCACTGGAAATAAGACAATGCAATTGTGTTTTCTTATTTTAAGTGTTAATTGTTTTGTTCCATTGAATGATAAAACTTTGCAATAAAAAGAAATGGAAGAACAGTTTAAAAACAAACCCACCAGATTCTCGGCCGTAAGGCGCGTTATCTCGTGCTTCAGGCTTGCCTCCACTCGGGCATCTTCAGGCAAAAGGAGGCTCTGAGCCAGCAGCTTCTGTTGCTGCTCCTTTTCTGCCTTCAGCTTGTTCATCTCCTCAACCAGCTTGCTGTACTTCTTACTGTGAAGACACTCCTGCTCCTGCATCTGGGCTTCCAGGAGCCTGCAGAGAGGATGAAAGGTTTCCAGGTTTGTATTCAGCCAAGGTAAAAAAATATATATTAAAGTGCTAAAGCTAACCACCAGTTGTTTAAACCCACATCATAGACTGCACTATATCATTATGTCAAAGATACATAATCAATCACCATATATGTGTAAAATAGTGATAAAGCTTCTAGTTAGAGTGGCTCAGGTTATCCTGAGCTATCTCTATAGTTCTGCTGCTATAGGCTTAGACTGCTGGAGGACATAGGGACCCCTTTTTCATCATTCTGCTTCATTCTATCTCTATTCTCCCACTCTGCAGAATCTGTTAGTTCAATCTCTAACGTTCTGCTCTCTCTGCTTTTTCTCATAGTAGCTTCATCTGGTCTGTTCCTGTTTGGCTGTGACTCCATCCTGGAGAGAAATATCAGCTGTGCTGCTGCCATCAACACCTTTGTTTCTAGATGTTGGAGCTTGGCCTGTTTTCCAGTGTAGTCCTGTTTCTCTGACTGTGACTAACTGGATGTGCTCTCTTCATCCTCTGACATGGGAGCTGGCTCGGAGCTCGTCTGCCTGGCTGTGTGTTTCCTGGACGGGGCCGCCTGTGGAGCTGGTTGACAGTTGCCTTTTGTATCTATGCTTCTTTTTCTATGTCTGCTTCTGTCTCCTTGAACCCCAGTGGGCCTCAGCAGATGGCCGCTCACACTGAGCCTGGTTCTGCTGGAGGTTTCTTCCTGTTCAAAGGGAGTTTTTCCTCTCCACTGTCGCTACAAGCATGCTTAGTGTGAGGGATTGCTGAAGAGTCAATGAGTCGATGCAATCAGCTGGTTTTCCTTAGATAGAAAACTATGAATCAATCTGACTGGATGATCTGGTGAACTGGAAAGTGACCTGAGATGACATGATGTGAATTGGCGCTATAGAAATAAACTGAATTGAATTAAAACATGTAGGAAACCCTAAATAATTTATTCCATCTTTACTAAGATAAAAGAAATGATCAATTGCGGGACGTTGCATCATTACCTGTTTGTCTCTTTTAAACCTTCATAAGCGAGCCACAGCTCCCCATCTTCATTCAGTGTATGAATATTAGTGGACCTGAGGGAGAAGCAGCAGAGAGTGACCGCACACAACAAGTTAAGAAAAATACAAAAATTATTTCAGCATTTTGAACTTCACATTGTTTATTTGTCCGTTTTATGATCCGTTTCCTCTGTTATGTTCAACTGTTTTAGGTCATGAATGAATGGGAATCTATATATATATATATATATATATATATACACACATATATATATACACATATATATATATATACACATATATATATATACACATATATACATATATACACATATATATGTATATATACATATACATATATACATATATATACATATATATATATGTATATATACACATATACATATATACATATACACATATGTATATATACATATATACATATACACATATACATACATATACATACATACATATATACATACATACATACATACATATATATATATATATATATATATATATATATATATATATATATATTAACAAATATATTTTTTAGACAACTTTTTAATCCTTACATTCTTTCTAGTAGTGCTGTCAATAGATTAAATTTTTTTAATCGCGATTAATCGCATCAATGCCTGAGTTAACTCGCGATTAATCGCATTTTAATCGCAAATTTTTTTTCTGATTGAAAATCATTTAAATACTCTCTATGACATACAAAAAATACATACAGGCTAGGTTTGTGCCAATGTTCTTTTTAAAATGAAAACAGGTCACAGACACTGATTTATGCCATAGAAAAATATGGCAAGAAGATGGGGAGGCATGTAGCAAAAAATAACAAATATGTAGCCAAAAAAAAGGCCCTGAAAACAGGCTGATGTAAAAGACAGTCTTTACAGTTAATACAGTCTTTTGAACAAAGACAAGCATTTTACCCTACTGCTATAAAATGCAGTACAGTTAACATTAGATGTTAATTAACCAAGATAATAATGAACAATTTTCAATCAATACATCAAAATCAATAGACCGACATCCCTAGATGGAGGTAGTCTATGCTCTAGAAAGTTACTTTTCAGCCTCTTAACAAATATGAGAACACACACACACCCACCCACCCACACACACACACACCCACATACACACACACACGATACCGACCTGTGGCCTACATAGACAGCAATAGTGCCGTAGCAGATTCCATTTCACCTCAGTAATCTGTTTTCTCAGCGTATTTCAGGTTGCTATTAGTTACCAGACACTCAACTTGTTTGTTGGTGGTGGGGCTTAAAGAAAAGGCACTAGCGTCACCCAGTGTATCTGCGTCTTTTTCCCTTGAGGAGCTCCGCTCTTGAAGCCTATGAGAAATGCATAGACTGGGGGAAAATAGCCCCGCCTTCCCACAGGCTGCAGCGGGATGTACTTGGAAAATTGTACCATAAAACCACATAGCGTTAATCTCACGTTAAAAAAATTATCGCCGTTAAAATGGCCTCGTGTTAACGCGATAATAACGCGATAATTTTGACAGCACTACTTTCTAGTAATATTTTTTTTAAATGTAAGGAGTAATTCTACTCCTTACAGTTAAAATCGTTTATGGCCTGTTGGTATTAAAACAATTTTTTTCTTTGTGATTGAACTCGGTGCTGCCCCAACTTGTTTGTCACGACATACCAAAATAGTTTTAAAGATGATGCAAAGTTAAATCTAACACGTATCAATCATTATAAAATTAAGAAAATGAAGTCTAAGGAAGTTATCATCCAGAATTGTATAAAAATTTTCCTTTAATAGAGTAGAGCAGTAAAGCTTAACCCTAACATTTTTCCCTGCATTCATTTTACTTTTATACTTTAAGTAGGTTTATTATTTAAAGCAGGAGGAGGAAAAGTTTTACATTTTTACTGAAGTAAAAAGCTTAGTTGATCCTTTAACTTCTACAAAAGTGTTTTAAAACAGCAGGATTTATACTGGAGGAATAAACGGGAATACTTTTAACACCTCTGTAGATCGGTTATCTTTCTTTGTATTTCCTTCTGCTGCATTTTATTTAAAGAACACATGAACCATTTAATAGATTTTAAAACTACTTATAAATAAAAACAGAGCGAGGTGTTTCTTACCTGTCAGAATCTTGGAATGAGTGGATTTCACTGAGATCCAGTTTCACACTTTCTCCGAGTACAGAGTCCTAAAGTGAAGGTTACAGAAAGTCTGCATCATTACTGAAGCCTTCCAGAAAGAAAGACGGGCCTTCTAGCTTCTCACCCTGTGTTTAAGAGCTTCCTGACGAACCATATGTGAACGGAGGAGCAACACCTCCTCCTTACGCATCTCCAGCTCCTCGTTGGAAGAACTGAGTTGATCCAGCAGAATGTTGTAGGGCAAAGAACCCGCAGCAGGGGGCGCCAAATCACTGTTCTCATTAGTCAGAGACTTCCGTAACTCACTGAGATCCTGCTTCAGCCTCTTGTTCTCTGACTCCAGCTCTTGCCGCTACATAAAAAAAACACGTTCAAGATCAAAACTCTAGAAATATTTTGATATTAAGTTTTTCTAGTGAGTCATACCTTTATTTTTTCTACGTCCAGTTCTGTTCTGCCAACAGTTGTCTGCTTCTCCACCTCCTAATGGGTTTTAGAGAAAGACACATTTCAAACGTCAGACAGTTAATCAGAGGAACTAAAAATCTAAAAACAATCTTTAAGGAATAATTTTATACTTTAGCTTTTTCCTGCTGAGCCTCTTCTTTTTTATCCAGCTGATGCCATAAAGACCGATTTTCCTCCTCCAGCTCCTTCACTCGTCTCTGGAGCTTTAGAAGAATGGGCAGGTCCACTTTCTTCTCAGACGGATCCTGTAGGAATATTGACAAACTTTAATTGATAGTTTCTTTCATTGCAGCTGATCCAAAACGCTGCTGCCAATGTTCTCACTAGAACTAAGCAAGTAGAGCACATCAGCCCGGTTCTGAAGTCCTGCCACTGGCTCGCTGTAGCTCAGAGAATAGACTTTAAAATCATCCTGTTAGTCTAGAAATCACCGAGTAGACCAGCACCTCAATCCATCACAGATCTGTTATCAGTGGATCTACCTCCCAGACCACTCAGGTCCTCTGGTTCCAGCCTACACTGTCCACCTAGAACTAGAACCAAACATGGAGAAGCAGCATTAAGTTCGTATGCTGGTGAAGATTCTCAATCATCCAGGTCATAGTATTTCCAAAAAAGTAAAAAAAAACAATCCATTGGACTTTGTTTCCAAGTTTGAAGACGTTTCTCTTCCATCCAGGAAGCTTTTTTTTAACAAAAATGTCAGAAATAGCGCTGAGTTCGAGGCTTTATACAGCAGCCCAACAAAGCCTTGTTTTTGTTTATAAAACGCCCTTGGACCTTTGACTTTCCACAACCTATTTCAACTTCAGGGATCATTCTTACAGACAGAAGCGTGGTTGTGCCATGGAATCTCCAGTGTCACCAATTGTAGCCAATCTTTACATGGAAGAGATGGAAAAGAGAACTTTGGACACTTTCAGAGGAACACCACCAAGCCTCTGGTTTAGATACGTGGATGACACATTCGTCAAAATCCAGCTAAAAGAAGTGGAAGCTTCACAAGACACATCAACTCGGTCGACCATAACATCAAGTTCACCAGAGAGGATGCCAACGACAAAAAGCTGCCTTTTCTGGACTGTTTGGTGAGCATGGAAGGAGATGGAAACCTCAACATTGATGTGTGTAGGAAATCCATTCACATAGACCAATATCATCTTTCTGACTAACACCGTCGACTGGAATACAAACCGTCATCAGAATCTTCCAGCAGCGGGCCGAGCCTGTTCCTACTAAAACAGAAGGGAAGCACAAAAAACTGAGACACATCAAAGATGTTCTCCAAACCTGTGGATATCCAAACTGGGCGTTTGTCAAATCAGCAAGGAAATCCAAAAAACACGCAGCAGAACGTAAGCAGAAACATCTCCATCCCATATGTTGCAGGAGTCTTTGAAAAACTAAAGCGGATTTTCTCCAAACACAAAATCCCAGAATATTTCAAACCAAACAGACCCTAAAACAGAGACTAGTGCATCCTAAAGACAAAGCCCCAGACCAAATCTGGTGTCTGCAGCTCAGTGCAGTGAGGAATGCTCTGATCTTTATATTGGAGAAAAACAATTGCATCGTCTTTTTCCAGTGCATATTATCTAAATATCTTATTTTAATGGTATAAATACTCATTCCATTGGAAAATCATCTTATTTACCTGCCCAATTTAAGGGTAGATACACTTAATTTAAGAAATTTGTACTTATTTCTAGACCGTTTTGCAGTGGATGGAGCCTTGTTCCAAGAAAAACAGCAAGCATATCTGTACAAAACAGAACTTGAACAATCTTTGCAGGTAGTTTCTAACCTCAGTGATGAAGCTGGATGAAGCTAGATCAGTCTTAATTTTCACAAAAACACATATTTGATTCATACATGCACAGCACCATTCACACAGCACAAAAAAAATCCACACACACACAGTACAAGATCCATACACGCACAACATGATTCACATAAGCATACAAGATCCATACACACACAACATGATTCACATAAGCATACAAGATCCATACACACACAACATGATTCACATAAGCATACAAGATCCACACACGCACAGCATGATTCACATAAGCATACAAGATCCACACACGCACAGCATGATTCACATAAGCATACAAGATCCATACACACACAACATGATTCACATAAGCATACAAGATCCATACACACACAGCATGATTCACATAAGCATACAAGATCCACACACGCACAGCATGATTCACATAAGCATACAAGATCCATACACGCACAGCATGATTCACATAAGCATACAAGATCCATACACGCACAACATGATTCACATAGGCATACAAGATCCATACACACACAACATGATTCACATAAGCATACAAGATCCTAACACACACAGCATGATTCACATAAGCATACAAGATCCATACACACACAGCATGATTCACATAAGCATACAAGATCCACACACGCACAGCATGATTCACATAAGCATACAAGATCCATACACACAACATGATTCACATAAGCATACAAGATCCATACACACACAGCATGATTCACATAAGCATACAAGATCCACACACGCACAGCATGATTCACATAAGCATACAAGATCCATACACGCACAGCATGATTCACATAAGCATACAAGATCCATACATGCACAACATGATTCACATAGGCATACAAGATCCATACACACACAACATGATTCACATAAGCATACAAGATCCTAACACACACAGCATGATTCACATAAGCATACAAGATCCATACACACACAGCATGATTCACATAAGCATACAAGATCCACACACGCACAGCATGATTCACATAAGCATACAAGATCCATACACACACAACATGATTCACATAAGCATACAAGATCCATACACGCACAGCACAAGATTAACCAAAGTATTTCTGTTCCATAAACAATTATAAAATTATAGAATGGATGGATGGATGGATGGATGGAAGAATCAGTTGAATTAAAAAAAACATTTAATCAATAAGTCCTTACTCAACATTTCTGACAATAACTGTGGCAAAATTTGTGGATGTATATTTGTTCCAAAAGGTTTGGGTGAGTGGTGTGCCAGGGGAGAGCTGCTTTTCTTTTTTTTCTCCCCCTTAAAGGAAATCTGATCAAATAGCCTTTGGTCATAATATTGCAGTTTTTGCTGTATAAGAGTCTCAGCGAAGCACATAAGACTTCAAGACAACATTGTTTTGGCACCACGGAGAGAAGCACATTTCTTTAAAACAAAGCAACTTTTCATTTCCAATAAAAGCAAGCATAAGTCACACTCATATGTGCAGGTAGTGCATATTTTACCTCTGCTTGAGTGAAGCCCTCTTCATCCTCAGTGGAACTCAAGATTTGAGAAAACTCTGATGAATTACTGCTGTAGTTGGAGTCCGTTCTCTGGTGGCTGAATTTGCTAGAAATCTAATTAGAGGCACATTTAAAATTAACTCAATTCATAGGATAATAATATAACATTTTATATCATAAAAAAATGCTTAATAAAAATCCAATTAAGAGTCATACTTGAGAAAATACTACCATTATTCCTCTAAATGAAACTGTGGACACAAGTGAAAGTGGAAAACTAACACAGCAGATAACTCTTAAAACCCGGTGTTCATGGAGAGGCAGGGTAGTGACAGCATGGTGCTGTGGTGATGGGGTCGGAAAGCTGGTCAGAGTTGATTTCAATATCGATGTAGCTAATGACGAGGAGTAAACCAGTAGGAGGATGCAAAAGACCCCCAGACTGGTTGAAGGGAAGATTTACTAAACCCAAATCCAGATCTACCCTGGAAAAATTATCTAGAAATAAGAATGCATTACCCTTAATTTGAGTACATAAATGAGATATTTTGCCAATGGAATGAGTATTTTTACTCTTAAAATAAGATAATTAGATAATATGCACTTGAAATAAGACAATATGATTGTGTTTTCTTATTTTAAGTGGAAATTGTCTTGTTCCTTTAGCAAAATGTCTCTTTTACCTCCTCAATCCAAGAACAAATGCACTTTTTTAAGAAATAAATACAATTTTTTTAGATTTTGATTTTTTCCAGTGTAGATTAGATTGACAATCTGAGGGAGATTAGCATATGACATTTGTCGTTTGGATGCTTTCCATCTAATCTGAGTCAGCTTACACTGCAAAAAATGTCATTTTTTTCTTAAAATAAGTGCATTTATTCTTGGACTGAGGAGGTAAGTGAGAAACTTTGCCAATGGAACAAGATCATTTACCTTTAAAATAAGACAAAACAATTGCATTGTCTTATTTCAAGTGCATTTTATCTAATTATCTTATTTTAAGAGTAAAAATACTCATTCCATTGGCAAATCCTCTTACTTATCTACTAAAATTAAGGGTAAATACACTTAATTTAAGATATCCTTACTTATTTCTAGATTATTTTTGCAGTGTAGGTTGATTGCAAATAATAGAAAACCCTCTTTAGGGTCTAGATCAGTGGTGGCAATTCCCTGTTCCTCAGGGCAACTATCCTGCAACCTTTAGACGTGTCCTTGGTCTAAAACACCAGATTCAAGTAAATAGATGATTAAGAGGATTGAAGAAACTGACAGCATATTGAGGTGTTAATTCAGCCATTTGATTCAAGTGTGTTTGACCAAAGACAAATCTAAAAGCTGCAGGATAGCGGCCCTCAGGAACTGGTCTAGATGTACGAAGCTGGTGGAGACAAAACCCCAAAGACGGTTGCAAGATGGTTCTAGAAAAAACTGAATTGGGGTTCAGAGGGTAAAACCAATGCATGCTGCACTTTTGCAGCTTTGCATTTATGCAAATGTAATGTTGTGTTTGCACCGTGTAATAAAATAAAATGTTCCTTACCACACTGACGCTCATCTCCTCCTTGAGATCCTTGTGTTGTTCCTCCAGTTGCAGATGTTCACTCAGCAGACTTTGGTAGCGACAGCGCTCTTCTGTCAAGTCCTTCTCCAGCTGCTTGCTGTTCTCCAAGGTCTTTTTAATTTCTGAGCAGAAAAAAAAAGTTATTTTACTCAACTTTTTAATGTCACCCTTAATCTTTAATCTTTAACTATTAAACAGAACAGCTCCAGTACCTGTTAACTGCTGAGCCTGTATGGAGAATTCCTGGTTTAGTTCTTCTATGTTGCTATTTAACAAGCTGTTCTTCATATTCAGCTCATGGATCGTCTAGAACAGGATATAGTTAGATGCTGATGAAGGTTCTCAGTCATCCAGGTCATAGTTATTTCGTAAAAATTCAAAAAATATCTACTGGACTTGGTTTCCAAGATTTGAAGACTCTTTGAGAAAGCTTCCTGGAGAGGTGGCGAAACGTCTTCAAATCTTGGAAGCCAAGTCCAGTGGATATTTTTTAATTTTTACGGATATAGTTAGATGTTCTTGGTAATTATTGCGTTTGGGCTTTAAGAGATTAACTCCTAATGTACACAACAATCAAAATCTACAAGTTGAAGGCTAAAGTATCACTGGAAAAATAAAAATCTAGAAAAGTCATTTTTTTCTCAAAATAAGTGCATTTACCTCCTTGGATTAAGGAGGTAAAAGAGACATTTTACCAATGGAACAAGACAATTTACATTTAAAAGATCCGGACCCACCTGATTTAAAACATTTATGAATTACTGTATGTTGGCTGAAGGTGGTGTCTAATTTCCCTTGCCCCGCTTCTCCTGTTAATATTTCAAGTGCATTTTATCTAAATATCTTATTCTAAGAATAAAAATACTCATTCCATTGGCAAATCATCACATTTACCTACTAAAATTTAAAGTGAATACACTTAATTTAAGAAATTTTTAATAATTTCTAGATTTTTTTCCCAGTGTAAATAGGTGCACTGCAAAAACGACCTAGAAATAAGTAAAATTTTCTTAAATTAAGTGTATTTACCCTTAATTTGAGTAGGTAAATGAGATAGTTTGCCAATAGAATTAGTCATTTTACTCTTAAAATAAGATAATTAGATAAAATGCACTTGAAATAAGACAATGGAATAGTGTTTTCCTATTTTAAGTGTAAATTGTCTTGTTCCATTGCAAAATGTACTTATTTTAAGAAAAAATGACTTATCTAGATTTAGATTTTTTGCAGTGTGATCACTGCACTGCAAAAACCATCTAAAAAGGAGAAAAAAATGCCTTAAATTAAGTGTATTTACCATTAATCTGAGTAAATAAACGGGATAATTTTTAGTCTAAAAATAAGATAATTAGATAATATGCACGTGAAATAAGACAATGCAATTGTGTTTTCTTATTTTAAATGTAAATTGTCTTGTTCCATTTGGCAAAGTGTCTCAATTACCTCCTCAATTAAAAACAAAATTTACTTATTACAAGAAAAAATGACTTATGTAGATTTTAATTTTTTGCAGTGTGATCACTGCTCCAGTCTTCAAACATTCTTCAGGCCCGTTTATTTTCACGTCAAGAAAGCAAGAAACAACAAAAAGATCGAAGACGGAAAAACAAATGACTTATTTCAAAAAACAAAAAGTTTATTTTAGGCTCAAGTCTTGGAGATTAGTCTAAAGCCATCTATCCAGATCGTTAGCACGTATGCTAAGAAAGCCTACCTGTCGGGTCTCTTCTTTAAAAGTCTTTGTGTGGACCTCCAGCTCCTCCTTCTCTCTGCGGGTATTTTCCAGCTCCTCCTGAAGGAAGGACAGCTGTTCCAGCAGCGAGGGAACCGTCTCTGCCTTACCTCTGGCCTCTTGCTCAGATTTACGCAGGTTTTCTATCTCTCTGCTCTGTTTTTCTCTCTCGGTGGAGTTGGTCTTCTCCAGAACGCTGAGCTTCTCTGTGAGCTCTCTGTTTTCTTTATGCTGCAGGAGGGGGACATGAACACATGATTTGCATGTGATATGACAACAGCACGGACCCAGGGTTTTATTATACACATTATCTCAGATGATTACAGAAGAAACCGTGGAGAAATATTACCTCATTTTTCTAATGATGCGCCACAAGGTTTCTATTTAAGAATTTAACAATCTAAAATCTATAGTAATCCTTTACATTGTGTGTTTTTAATAATAATCAAAGTGTTTTTATTGATTTTTCATATTGAAACAGACATCCCATTCAAAACACACAGAACAAATAATTTACATCACAAAAGTTGGATACTTATACAGGGTTTATATAGGAATGAGAAAATCTAATTCAATGCTTTTTATGCTCTTTAAATGCTCTTAGAAATAATTTTATTGCCACTTTTCCCTAGCCTCGTGAGACCATCCTGATCTCGCGAGCTTTCAAGGTTTCACTCGTAGATCAGCCTGGAGACTCTCCGTTAAAGAAAATTTGGAGCCGTTCACCAAACGAACGTCCAATCAGTGTTGGCTTTGAGGCGGGTTGAGGTGTGACGCAACGAGAAGCGCCACAGTTCAGTCTAAAGAACATGGCGGCTTCAGCCGATGAAACTAGCGTTAGCGTGGCTATCGAGCAAGTTTTATCGGAATTACAGAGTATTTCTTCACTGAAAGAAGAGCAAAACACTGCTCTGGAGGCTTTTCTCAGAGGAAAAGATGTTTTTGCTCTTCTCCCGACTGGTTTCGGCAAGAGTAGCCTGGCTGTTAGTACGTCATATGCTTCGTTGATCTAAATTGGTTTATTTGGCCCGTCTATCACCAACATAGGCCAATCAGCTAACCAGTATTTTTGCCCCTTCCCAAAATTACTTCAACGGAAGGTTTCCAGATGGATATGCGGAGCAAATCCATCTGGCGTAGTCGGGTTAACTTTTCCAGCCACTTTTGTTGAAATGAGCATTTTCCCATTCTCTGGCCTTTTCTCCGCCTCGAGCTTTGTTTCCGACTAACCGGAAGCAGTTCCACCCAAACACGCGGAACCAGTTATATCTGTTATAATATATCTGACAAAATTGTTTTTAGAAACGTGTTTTTTTAATAAAGCACTTTAAATGTCACGATAAACAGATTTAATGAATTTTAATGCCAAATAAGGCCTTATTTTAAAACATGTTAATTTAATTACTTTTAATGATGTTTAAGTAGCCAGACGTAGTCCTACTCAATTCTAGTCAGAACATGAGTCTGATGCTGCTCCATAGAGCTGTGATTATGGGGCGTGTTTCAAACAAACCAGGAAAAAAAATGCCTCTGCACTCAATTGGATAGACCTACAACCAATAAGAGCAACGGAGTGCGTGACGTATGTTAAGCGACGCATAGTTGTTGTCAATAAAAATCAAAGCGTGCAGTTGCACGCCTAGAATAAGAAGATGAGCCTTGATCGCGTTTCTCTGTTCCTCTTTCAAAATTAATTTGCTGTCGATATCTTCTAGAACAGACCTAATAGCAGAATCTACTCACCTCAACTCTCCAGCGGCAGCCATTGTTGTTGTCACCCAAGCGCGCTTTGGTGACGTGGTTGATTACGTTACTGTTGATCATCTGTCCATCATCGTATAAAGCCCGCCCTGACAATTTGATTGGCCCGCCAGATATTGTGCTAGCATACTCGCGCTACTATTGAGCAATGCCAACCGAACTTCCTGACCTCAAACGTTGTGGGCGGGACTAAGTTCGGAATGGCACCCAGGCTAATGTTTAATGACCCGTAGAAACTATATGTTATATATCGACATCTTTTATTTAGAATAAATCAAAGTTGCGAATCAAATAATTTGCTTTTGAGCACATCCTTTTATCCATTAATTGCAGATTTTGCTGAAATCAAATCAATCAAGAACATAACCCTCATCAAATCTAATAATTTAAAAAGGTGAGCAGCTGGGTGCATACATTGCAAAAGGTTTCCATCTCTGTACATCCCAATAAAACTCACCTGCTCGTTGATCTTGTGCTGCAGCTGCATGATCTTGTTCTCCATGCCAACGTTGAGCTTTTTGAAATGCTCCACTGAGCGCGCCTCGACTCTCAGCTTCTTTAACTCCTTCTTGGCCCTCATGCGGCGCACGCAGCTCTGCAGCAGGACCACGGCCTCCATGGCGCGCCGGAAACGCTGCTTCGCCAACCAGCCTCTAACCGTCTTCTGAATTACCAATGCTTTGCTCTCAAACAGCAGCTGCAGAAACAGAAAAGCACTAAATGTTTTATTTTCCCACTACACACGTTAAGGTGCAACTGATCATGTATGTAAAGTAAAACTAAAATGTCTATCATAAGGAGATTATATAAGATTATCCAAGCAGAGTGCTTCAATAAAATAAAACCGCTGCTGCAAACCATTTGCTGTAGTGGAAAAAAATACATCAATAAGAACAGAAAGTTTTCTTTTAATCACATATGAAAAATACAAAAAAACCCTGAAAGACGGACTTAATTTCTTAACAGTTTACTTTTATGGTAAAATAAATATCACTGACTCCAATATTTTCTGTATTTCATTTTAAGCGTAATAAAAATGATCTAATTTCTGTTACTCTGCAATCAGGTGTTGGAAAACAAACAATGTAAACATTAAAAAGGACTAATTGCCTTTTTAATTATCAATCCTTTATTTTTATAGGGACACTGAGATCTTCTGATGGATTCTCAAGTCCGTTTGCTAACATTTTGAACTCCATAAGTGTGACTAAGTCCTCTTTCCAACTGAAAATAGCGGCTTAACACGAGTTTTTCAACAACAAGTCGACTAGCTAACAATCAGCACTTGGATCCCTTCCCACTGGCTAGAAATATAATTTATTGATCTCACATTGGAGAAATTTACTCTCTGCATTTAACCCATCCCCTTGGGGAGCAGTGGGCCGCCATTGTGCAGCACCCAGGGAGCAGCGTGGGGTTAAGTGTTTTTGTTCAGAGACCCAGAGTGGCAGTCTGTGGGAGTGGGGCTCGAACTCAAAACCTCAGGATTCCAAGCCAGTCAGCAGTGTGACAGAAATCAGGGAAGTAAACAATGGAGAGCAACATGTCAGGAATCCAGGGCGTAGTCAGTGTGCTATTATCATCTCACCAGAGCTGCTCCATGTTTATCGAATGCAAACAGAGTTGATTCTGCTTGTTAGATCAGAATCGAATGGCGCTGTTTGTTGATGTCCGTATGTTGCGTTCAATGGTATCACGTAATTTGTTCCCATCCCACAGCATGCCGATCAGAGCCGAGCAGATTTTAACGTGGGTCGCTTGCCGAGTCGTTGGACCCGGGTAGATACGAGTCAGTGAGCTGCTCCCACTGCCACTAAAAACCCATTGTTCCCAAGTTTAAACTGGTTTTTCAACCAGTTGGAAAGAGGTATATATATTGGAAAAGTTTGGGTCGTGCTAAAGTAAAGATCCACATGGAGGAGAAGGAGAAAGATTGTTTTTAACTCAGTGCAAACAGACTTAAAGAAAGGCTTACTTTCCCCTACTTTTTTGGGGGTCGGTTATTTTCTCTTTTGTTTTTTTATTTATGCTCCATAAAAATTCACAGTTCAAACTATTTTTCTAAAAAGGTACTTTGTGAAAACAATTGAAGACGAATCCTGGAAGTCTGATGAACTGATAAATAAAAAAAAAAAAAACTAATTTGTGTTTCTCTCAGCATTTTTAAAATTTAAGTAAAGAATGTATTTATTTCTTTACCATCTCCATCAAACAACTTTTTCTATCCGTTCCAGTCGGGGGCCAAACAAACAACAAAGACAGTTAAACCTCACAGGTTTCCTGCTGTAATGATATAAATGCACTTTGTTGATAGCATGACAATACACAGATGTTATCCAATGTCCATCTGTTAAGTTCAATAGTTGGTAGAAAGTATAAAAAGATAAATATCTTAAGCAAAAAAAGTTTATATCAATAAGTGAATTCTTCTTTTTGGTTTTCACACTTTAGACCAGAGGTGACGTATTTATTGATTACTGCATGTTGTCTGACGACTGTTTATAATTTCACTTGCGCCTCTTCTCCTGTTAATACGGTAAAGCCCTGGGGGGCGTCCGGCTCCAGGCTGCACGTGATCCAAATGAGCCAATGAGCTGCTGTCAGTCTGGGTTGCTGCTGCTGCTACTTTTAGACACAGCAGGCAAACCTGTGGCAAGCCGGGCGATGGGAAAGAAGGAGAAGACCATGAGAAAAAGAGAGCAGAGAAAGTGTGGACTGCTGGAAGAACTGCGGTGAACTGGTGAAAGAAAAGTGAAATGGCGTGCTCAAAGATGACCCTGCACATTTAGAGGATGTTTGGCTCAACCTGCTGCTGTGAAGCAGGATTCTCCACCATGAACAGAATCAACAATAAATCTGGATCCAGGCTCAAAATGAGCACCTTGATATGTGCTTGAGAATGGCTTAGTCTCCGGTTAAACCCAGGTTTAAAGCCTTGCAGGGCAGCCTAAAGCCCACTGCCAACATTAAGACAGAAAAAAAGAACAATGATCAAATAACGCTCAGTTCAGGTTTTTTATAATAAAAAAAAAAAGTGAGTCAGGAAAATGTCTTTGTATCAAACTTTCAATTTTTTATATTTTATATTTAAAAATCCAACGTATAACATGGATGCAGAAACACCTGCATTTTATTTCAGTTTTAAATTCTGTTTAAAAATATCTCCTGACCTTTACTTGTTGATGATTTTCTTTATTTAGACCGTGCTGATTTTTAATTGGTTAAACCTGCTTTAGACGGACTACAGAGTAAAACAAGAGATCTTGATTTGATGGCGGCCTTTCCTCCGCGATAGTCTTACCTTGAAGTACTGCTTTCTCGCCACGCGACCCCTCCAAACCCGCTGAATGGTGACAGCTGCAGAGCGCTGCTGCAGAAAACGTCTCTTTTTAGACCACATTCGCACATTGCTCTGAATAACAATAGCTGCTTTGGTCTTCCGCAGAAACTGCACATAACTATTAGGGGAACAAAAAAAAAGTTAAAAATATGCTAGTGCTTAGCTTTACTGTTTCTAGTATGGAGCTAGATTGGTCTCAATTTTCAAAAATACACACACTGAAAAAAATCTAAATCTATATAAGTCATTTTTTCTCAAAATGAATATAGTAAATATCATTTATTCATGAATTGAGGAGGTAAAAGCGACATATTGCCAATTGAACAAGACAATTTACACTTAAAATAAGCAAACACAATTGCATTGTCTTATTTCAAGTGCATATTATCTAATTATCTTATTTTAAGAGTAAAAATACTCGTTCCATTGGCAAACTATTTCATTTACCTACTCAAATTAAGGGTAAATATGATTAATTTAAGAAATGTTTACTTATTTCTAGATCGTTTTTCCGGTGCATCTGTGACTCATACAAACACAGGACAAGATTCACCAAAGTATTTCTGGTCCATAAACAATTATAAATTAAACTAAAAAGTACCAGTAGTCTTTAAACTTCACTGCATTTGTGTGGATTTTTGACACTCTCCTGATGTACCTCGATACACAAATGCATTATTTTATTCAGGAATGGTTTTCAACCAATCACTAAGCTCCTAAAGATGAGAAATCTGCTTCCTGGTATGTTGAAGTACCAATAATTTGCATCCAATAATATAAATACACGATCTTAGCTTTTGGGGATATCTAAGAATTATGCTCTAATTTGTAGTTACCGACCTGTCTTTAACATATTTTGATTTAATAAACCAGATTTTCTCGTGGTTCTTTTTCCTGTTTGGTGCGATTGCAATTGTGAAACTTGACCTTGCCGGACCGGAGCTAAAAATAGCTAAAAAAAAACAATGACGTTGGGACGTTGGGAGGAGTAGCGGTAGATGTGGAATAGTTCTCATTGATTAACACCAGTGTGCAAGTTCTCTGCCCAACGTAAGTGAGTGAGGCGCAGCAGATAGGGAGGATGTTAAACCTGGGGGTGTGATCCCAGGTGGGGCACTTTCTTGTGATTGGCTTATACAAGGGAGCTTTGTGATTGGTGGCCGATTATCCCTGCTTTAAAAAAAAAGCATTTGCGTATCAAGGCACGTCAGGAGAGTCTCAAAAATTCACACACAAATGCAGTGAAGTTAAAAGACCACTGGTAGTTAGTAATTTAATTTCTAATTGTTCATGGAGCAGAAATACTTTGGTGAATCTTTTGTTTTGTGTGTGTGTGGATCTCGTGTGCTTGTGTGAATCCTGCTGTGTGTGTGTGGATCTTGTGTGCTTGTGTAAATCCTGCTGTGTGTGTGTGTGTGTGGATCTTGTGTGCTTGTGTAAATCCTGCTGTGTGTGTGTGTGTGTGTGGATCTTGTGTGCTTGTGTAAATCCTGCTGTGTGTGTGTGTGGGTGTGTGCGTGTGTGGATCTTGTGTGCTTGCGTGAATCCTGCTGTGTGTGTGTGTGTGTGTGGATCTTGTGTGCTTGTGTGAATCCTGCTGTGTGTGTGTGGATCTTGTGGGCTTGTGTAAATCCTGCTGTGTGTGTGTGTGTGTGTGTGTGTGTGTGCGCGTGTGTGGATCTTGTGTGCTTGCGTGAATCCTGTTGTGTGTGTGTGTGTGTGTGTGTGGATCTTGTGTGCTTGTGTGAATCCTGCTGTGTGTGTGTGTGTGTGTGTGTGGATCTTGTGTGCTTGTGTGAATCCTGCTGTGTGTGTGTGTGTGTGTGTGTGTGGATCTTGTGTGCTTGTGTGAATCCTGTTGTGTGTGTGTGTGTGTGTGGATCTTGTGTGCTTGTGTAAATCCTGCTGTGTGTGTGTGTGTGTGTGTGTGTGCTTGTTTGAATCCTGCTGTGTGTGTGTGTGGATCTTGTGTGCTTGTGTGAATCCTGCTGTGTGTGTGTGTGGATCTTGTGTGCTTGTGTGAATCCTGCTGTGTGTGTGTGGATCTTGTGTGCTTGTGTGAATCCTGCAGTGTGTGTGTGGATCTTGTGTGCTTGCGTGAATCCTGCTGTGTGTGTGTGGATCTTGTGTGCTTGTGTGAATCCTGCAGTGTGTGTGTGGATCTTGTGTGCTTGCGTGAATCCTGCTGTGTGTGTGTGGATCTTGTGTGCTTGTGTGAATCCTGCAGTGTGTGTGTGGATCTTGTCTTGTGTGCTTGTGTGAATCCTGCTGTGTGTGTGTGGATCTTGTGTGCTTGTGTGAATCCTGCAGTGTGTGTGTGGATCTTGTGTGCTTGCGTGAATCCTGCTGTGTGTGTGTGGATCTTGTGTGCTTGTGTGAATCCTGCAGTGTGTGTGTGGATCTTGTGTGCTTGTGTGAATCCTGCTGTGTGTGTGTGGATCTTGTGTGCTTGTGTGAATCCTGCAGTGTGTGTGTGGATCTTGTGTGCTTGCGTGAATCCTGCTGTGTGTGTGTGGATCTTGTGTGCTTGTGTGAATCCTGCAGTGTGTGTGTGGATCTTGTCTTGTGTGCTTGTGTGAATCCTGCTGTGTGTGTGTGGATCTTGTGTGCTTGTGTGAATCCTGCAGTGTGTGTGTGGATCTTGTAGTGTGTATGTATGAATCACGTGTATTTGTGAAACTTGAGACCGATCTAACTCCATAACCTCCGTTTCTAGCCTCCGCCCACCTGCGTGCTTGGTGGGCCCGTACATGCTTCTGAATGATGATGGTGGACTCTCTCATCCTCAGATACTTTCTGCGAGCGACCCAGCAGCGGATCGTCTTCTGGATGCCGACGCAAGCCGAACGCAGTTTGTCAGAACGTAACTTCTCCAAGTAAGCCACCTGGCCAGCCCTGAAGAAGATCTTGTTTTTGCCAAACTGGTACTTCTGTTGGTCCTAAGAAAAAAAAACAACTCAGATTCATGACGCTTGATGTAAAAACAACTCATCAACCACATGCTTTGATTCAAACACACCTGGATGAGTTTTTCCAGGAGGTTTTTGCAGCTTTGTTTTCTGTCTGGCAGCACTTCCTTTTGCTTCATGAGGATCCGATAACGGCCGAAGAATTCCTGGTAGGTCCACCTGAGGCATCATAAACATACACAGCATATTCAGAGCATAACTCCAACATCATCCGTTATTATACAAAACAATTCTTGTGTTCATATAGATTGCCGATATTCTACCTAGAAGGGAATCCTGCTGCAGAGATACGGATCGTTTCCAGGACGCCACACGCTCGGAGCTGCTGCACAGCCCTCAAAGGGTCCAAACTTTAAAATACAATTTAATGGGTTTCTTTTCATAGATTTTATTTGTGTAATGAGATAATTAAAAGTAGCAGACAAGGGGGTAAATCCTCACGTGAAAGGAGCTTTAATGTCATTTGGTTTGATGCAGCGCACATAATGGGGCGTTGTTGCATTTAATGTGTCCATTAGTAAGTGTAGAGACTGTCGAAACTGAATGAAAACACAATAAGATTATTAAAAAGAAGCCTTAAGATGCTAAAAAAAAAAAAAAAATACAGAAAAACAGGGTTTCATCATCTAAAACTGTCCTCTTACTGTCCCACCTGCAGTCCAACAGTTTTCTTGGTGTCCCTCTGAGCCTTGCCAGCTCTTCCAGAACTGGATAACTTGTTAGTCGATGCTTTATTCTTTTCTTCATCCTCAAACAGCTTCAGCAGCAGGTCAAACTGAAAAAAACAAATATATATAAGGTAAAAAAAAAAACTAAAGTTTTGCAGCAAACAGCAGATGGCAGTGTTTCCACTTTCAAACTCAGATGTAGGAGAATTTCCTCCAATAGTTCAGCTGAAACAATTCCAGGGTGTGCGCCGCAAAAACAAATCACTCAATGCTTATTTGTTCTCAGAAACAAAGCATTAAACCCAATTAAATGAACGGGGGCCTCGTTTGCAGCACATAGTTTTACCTTGCTCTTCTTCAGCACATTTATCTGTTCCTCGTTGACTGTGTCCTTATTTTTCTCCAGAAATCCAACACAGTGGTACTCCACCTGGACACAACCGAAAAGGTTACAGAAATGCTTATTGGATTGAGAAAGCAGAGTCAATTCTAACACTGTAAATTGCCAATAAGTCAAAATAATGTACAAAAATGAAAAATCTAATTACACATCTTCCTTATAATAAGTAAAAGTCTTCGTACAAACAGAAAACTCTTAGATTTCTAGTTGTAATGTGTGCAGCTTATCTCAGAATAAAGACGATATTTAAAAGAAAAGTATAAACAGATTTTTACTCAGCAGAAACAGCAAACTTTTGAAATAAAGTCTCGCTCAGATGAGACCAAAACTAAAACCTTTCAACCTAAACAGACTCTGTACACTGCAAAAATGATACAAACATAAGTAAAACATTTCTTAAATTTAGTGTATTTAGCCTTAATTTGAGCAGCTAAATAAATTGATCTGCCAACGGAATCAGTATTTTTGCTCTTAAAATACGATAACATTTGCTAGAAATAAAACAACGCAATTGTTTTTTCTTTTTTTGAATGTAAATTGTCTTGTTTATTGGCAAAGTGTCTCACTTACCGCCTCTATTCAAGAAAAAATGCACTGATTTTAAGAAAAAAATGACGTATTTAGAGTGTATATAAAGCCAAGAAGTTGCATCGTAAAATATCCTGAACGCACCATCTTTGTGGTTAAACGTCATATTGAAAGGAGAATGAATCAGCATTTTATAGCGAGACGAAGCTGTTAAATTCTCCAAAAGACTGGAGGCGGCGGGATGACCATTACCATGCAGCCTGAGAGATAATAACGCAGGAGGAAAACCGATATCCTGCTAACTGGCCATAGCAACGCGTGAACAAGCAGACCTAAATAAAAAAATAAAAATAAAAAAAAACATCTCATGCCAAAGCTTGGTCTCTTTATTTTTCCTTTTTTTTTGGCATGAAAATGAGACACCTGATAACTGAAACATGCATGAAGCTCCAGTTATTGGCCTTTACGTGATGTATGGAGAACATACTGAAACCTGCTCAGTTTGATTACTGCACAAAAAAAGCAATATTCGTCTCTAATAAAATGTGCAAAAACCAAATTCATGCAACTGCTTAGCAGTATAAGAAAGCAAAGGTAAGGTGGTGCAGAAAAATGCATGACCACCAAGGATTTAGCCGCACAAGAGAATATTTCAAACGGCACAGTGCAGAAAGTATATTTGGAGAAGAAAAGGATTTTCTGACCCGAGGTGATTACCGTCCTATCAGGCACTTTAGGTTTCCATGGGTAATCCTGCTGAGACTATGACAAGTTTTATAAAGTAGCTTTTTTTTCTGCAGCCAAAATCGCTTTAGCTTTAATCGCTACATCACTTTCAAGTCTTTACACTATAAAAACCTTCAAAAGATTTTCTTAGCGTAGATCTTTCATCTTTATGTTCTTGATATGCACTGGAAAATCAAAAAATACTGTAGAATAAACTTAGATTGTAAGTCTAAATAGCACCAACAATTACTTTTGTCCACATGTTTTTGCATGTTAGCACAATTTCAATCCGTCTGCTTTAATTTTCCACTTTCACATTAGAATTCTGATTTACATCCAGAAGATTTGTGTTATTTTCTTCTCAATCAATTTCACTGGATTAAAGTTTTTCAATGAGAATCTTTAATTTACAAAACCCGCCTGGTGACACAGACAGAAGAAAACGTTTACAGGAAGTTAAGTCGTGGCTACGCGGTACTAACGCGTGGAAACCAGATAGATAAGTCGTGGTCAGCGTGCGATGATGATGCGTACATCCTTCTTTTTTGCACTGATGCCGTTTATCTGACATTTTTTGTGCACCCACCTATAACCATGCAGTCTCCTTGGTCCTTCTAGCTGGAATCAATACCATGGCCAATGACAGCAAACTATTTATGCCTCAATCAAGTGTATCTTACTTATAATCACTCAGAATTTAATTGCAAGAGATCGCAGGATGTCATTATAGTTAATTTAAAGCTTGAAATAAAATTAAATCAAGCCTGTTCTCCATGTTTCTTGAATGCTTCACAACCATAAAGGAACTCACTCACAAATAACTTGTGCAAATTTATCCATCTTGTATCCACACATTAGTACCGCATGGCCACAACTAAAAGAAGTCCGGTCATTTTCAGAATTCAAACTTCTGAAAGTTCTTTAGATCTGAAATGATTCCATCCTGTTCAATAAATGATCAGTGTTTTTAATTCAGAGTAATTTTCATGTGAATGTGCTTTACTGGAGGCATCCATGTTTGTCAAAGAACACTACTGCCACCTACTGGTTAGTGACGTCACGGTGCGGTATCGGCTGTTGATCAAGTCCCAGTGCTGTATCTGGTGTTTGTCACAACGCGCTATTATCCAAGTCATCTTGAAAACATTCTTCTTCCAAATGTTGGCTACATATTACGGGTTTTTTCTCTGGCCAGAAGTTCGATGGCAAATCCTCCCTCTTCAAGTTGGCGATCCAACGACCAACCCGTCCGTGGAGGATCAGGAATCAGAAAGGTGGAATAACTCTTTTTTTTTCACTTTTACCCGATGTATTCCAGCATCCAGCTGCCATGCACGTGGGCATTGTCAGTTTCACTATAGCTCTGGTGAATTTCAATGGTGAAGTCCTCTGGAAATCTTCAATAATTGTTGTTGATTGCAGATGTGTCTAGTAGTTCCCATTGATTTAGCTTGGAAAGCGGGGAGAATGGCGCTAGGCTTACCGCACCGTGACGTCACTGCTGGAAGATGGCAGGAGGGAGGGGTTACTAAGATTTTCTTAGCGTAGATCTTTTATCTTTATGTTCTAGATATGCACTGGAAAATCAAAAAATACTGTAGAATAAACTGAGATTGTTAGATTAAATAGCACCAACAATGACTTTTGTTGACATGTTTTTGCATGTTGGCACAATTTCAATCCGTCTGCTGTAATTTTCCACTTTTACATTTAGTATAAATCCAGATTTCTATGGTGTTAGAATTCTGATTTACATTGAGAAGATTTGTGTTATTTTCTTCTCAATTAATTTCACTGGATTAAAGTTTTTCTTTTTTACTATATTTGGGTAAAAATGGCCGCTCCCAGACTCCATAATCGCAATGAAAATTATTATTTTTTTACCGATTAAGGCTAAATTCATTAAATCACCACAAACATATTAGTTTTAGGTATAAATAATAATTCTTTGATTTTTCCTTGCTGACCGGACTTTTCCTTTAACATCTTGTAAACTTTTTTTTTGTGCATGTCACCAATTAATTGAAATCTAGAATATTTTAGCGCTTCAGTTAATTGTAGAATCCCTCTGAAACACTGAGGTTAGGGGTTGAATACTTTTCCAAGAGACTGTAGGGAGGGGGGGGGGGGGTGCATATTTTCTACTAGCGAGTTCCTCCTGGAACAAGGATGACAGACAAACATCTGCAAGTCCAAACATAACATCAAAAGGTCCACTTTGTGGGCGTCTGTAACCACAGTGCAGCTTCTCTACACGCCCCAGAGTTAGACGCTACCTTGTCAGCAAAGTGGTGGATGATGAAAGCTTTGTTTGATAACCGGGGTTTATCAAAGTAAGCGCTCTGCTTCAAGTGGGTGTTGTACAGTTTCTGAGCCCATGTGTCGTCAGAGCCTTTGGGCATCTGTGGAAAGAGGAAACGCTGACACAGTTAGTCAGAGCATTAGTCATAGCCTCCAAACTAAGTAGAGCCCAGAGAACGGAGAGCATGTTTCCTTTGGCCGGTAAATAATAAAAAAAAGCAAAACAATGGTGCCATTTTACTTTGCACTCCTCGTCCAGAAGGTCCAGAACACCAAGCTTGGCCTCAATGAGATTAATGCACGGCTGGTTGTCATGGAAATCAATCAAAGTCCAGGGAATCTCCTCCTTCATGTACTCCTCTTGCTCCAGCTTAAAGACATGCTGGAAAGATTGACCAATGAGAAAGGAATCCTGTGAAGATGGAGCGACGTTTAGCAGACGGAAAGATTCATACCAGGTTGAACTGTTGCTGGAGCTTCTCGTTGGCGTAGTTGATGCAGAACTGCTCAAAGCTGTTGACATCAAACGTTTCAAACCTGGAGAAAAATAAATGTTTGTCTCAACAGGCTGTGGAGCGATCACAGGAAACCATGACGACGCTGAGGCATACCCGTAGATGTCGAGCACTCCAATGAACGAGCGTTGTTTGACTGTAGAGGTCAGGGCGGCGTTAATGCTGCTCACGATCCAGGTGAAGAGTCTGGCATAGATATGTTTGGCCAGCGCGTCCCTGCCATGCACCGCGTTTACTTTGGAAACAGGCTTCACAAAGGTTTCTGTGGTGGTCTGGAGTTTCTTGTGGCATAACCAGTGGGCCATTTCATCGCAGGGCACCCCCATGAGCTCACAGAAAACCATCAGGTGGGCGTTATCTGGCTGGGATAACAGATGGGAGGTTCATCTCTTTATATTCTAAACACACGTCTTCTTGAGATAAATAAAAAGACATCAATCTATATAATAACACAGTTAAACATATTCTGTTATTGGATCAGCGAGTAATCGATGTTTACCAGGATGCTGCATCTGTCTGCTGACTGCTCTTTCACATCCACGTTGCTAAGATGGAGAATAGCTGACAGAATTTGGTAAATGTCCAGTTGATCATTTTCATCGATCCCTAAAAAATGAGAAAACAGGAAAAAAAACTTAACTAGAAAAAGTTAAAATCAATCCACTGGACTTTGTTTCCAAGTTTGAAGACGTTTCTCTTCCATCCAGGATGATTTTTCAATTCAAACTGTCAGAAATAGTTCCAGGTTTTATCCAGCAGCCCAACAAAACCTTGATTTTTTTTTTTTTTGGACCATTTATACGTTTCTTTGTTGTTTTTTGTTTAGAAAACATGCAAATAGAAACGGATGAACGGGTCCACCCCTTTGAAATGGGGGTCGTTTAGCTTCTTTGTTAGCCTGCAATGCCCTAGCCTCGTGAGACCATCCTGATCTCGCGAGCTTTCAAGGTTTCACTCGCTAATCAGTCTGGAGACTCTCCGTTAAAGAAAATTTGGAGCCGTTCACCAAACGAACGTCCAATCAGCGTTGGCTTTGAGGCGGGTTGAGGTGTGACGCAACGAGAAGCGCGACAGTTCAGTCTAAAGAACATGGCGGCTTCAGCCGATGAAACTAGCGTTAGCGTGGCTATCGAGCAAGTTTTATCGGAATTACAGAGTATTTCTTCACTGAAAGAAGAGCAAAACACTGATCTGGAGGCTTTTCTCAGAGGAAAAGATGTGTTTGCTCTTCTCCCGACTGGTTTCGGCAAGAGTTTGATCTATCAATTGGCTCCTCTTCGTCGTCGCTCTGTTAGTACGTCATATGCTTCGTTGATCTGATTGGTTTATTTGGCCCGTCTATCACCAACATAGGCCAATCAGCTAACCAGTATTTTCGCCCCTTCCCAAAATTACTTCAACCGAAGGTTTCCAGATGGATATGCGGAGCAAATCCATCTGGCGGAGTCAGGTTAGCAATGCCCCATACCTGTCCATGTCTCTGAAAGGGGGGTTGTTAAAAGGATCATCCCAACCCCAACCCCTTTACAGGGGATCAGAAGACCTCCCCTCTTCAGCCAAACCAACAATTCCCTTTAACGACCCCCCTTTTCAGAGACATAGACCCCCATTCCAGAGGGGGGGACCCGTTCATCCGTTTCTATTTGCATGTTTTCTAAACTAAAACCAGGCTTTGTTGGGCTGTTGGATAAAACCTGGAACTAAACGCTATTTCTGACATTTTGAATTAAAAAAGCTTCCTGGATGGAAGAGAAACTTCTTTAAATTTGGAAACAAAGTCCAGTGGATTGATTTTTAACTTTTTTGGAACGACTATCACCTGGATTACTAAGAATCTTCACCAGCAGAAAAACGAATATATAGTAAAATCAAGATATGTGGAATAAATGAAAGCATAATTCCTGACCTAGTAGTGAGAACGCCCTCCTGGTGCTGCACATTTCTCTGGCATCGTCCACTCCATCTATGACCGGACTCTGACCCTGGTTAGTGCAGCAGAAATCCTCTGCACAGCCTAAGAGCAGATCCAAGCATATTGCTGAAATAGAGCTCGTTTGAAAAATACGCTAAAAGAAAAAGTGATTTTTGTTTTCTACCCAGACCTAATTTGAAGGCTTTAAACTCTGGCAGATGTGAAGAGGCACAAAGCTGATAAAATATATGGTAGTTCCTTTCTCCACAAGCCTAGAAGAAATGCAGTTTGTAGTATTAATATATATTATATTATATTAATATTTAATATAATATAAAACCCAATGAAGAAGGCGCTCTGGTCCGACGAGATCAGACTGAGCTAAATGGCTTTTATGTAAAACACTAAAAAGTTTAACCCTAAGCTGAGACACTTTAACACGACTTTATATTGATTCCAGACTGAGATGTTTCACCAGGAGAAAATAACTTCAGTCTGTGGATGACGGCCAACTCAACCGGGACTGAAACTAAACCAAAAGAAATCCTAAATCCGTCTTCCATCTCCCAATTATGTGTTTTTCTATCGCATTAATTCCTACAGAGAAACATTAAAGATCTAACATAAGGCGTTAGTTGTTGCCATGTGGCCACGTTGTTCAGTAGGATGAGTTTGAAAGCAGAGTTATTGGTTCTAATAGATTCCATATTGAAAATATGAGGAGAATCAAGACTCGTGTTTTTAAATAAATAATATTAATCAGGGATGCACGATATAATGGGCCCCCTATCGGTATCGGCCTTAAAACTTAATATCGGACATCGGCCACCCCACCGATATTTAACCCGATATTTGATCAGCTTCTGAGTTTCTAAAGTCTAAAAAACTTATTTTTTACAGACTTAAAAACTTCTAAAGACGAGGGAAAAAATATTGATACATTAAAATATCCCAATATCTTCCTATGCTGATATATTGCCATTTAAAAACACCATATCAATCTCTTTTACTAATGAAATATTGCTATATGTCATCGTTATGCTACGAAATCCCCCGAAAATTCACCAAATGTTGCCATATTTTTATATGTTGATATATTGACGCGGTATCGATCTATTTTACTAACAAAATCTCACAAGAATTTGCAAAATATCACGAGAGGTTGTAACAGAACGATGAAATTTCACGAGATTTTGAAAGTAAAATAGATCGATACCGCGTTTTTAAAAATCAATTTGATATCAGCATATGAAAATATATTAGAGTATATTATTTTTCAAAGTGTCAGAAATGGATAACAAAACTGCTATTTTCAATGACTACTTATTTTTGTCCAGCTTTAACATCGGTATCGATATCGGTTATCGGCTACATGAGTTTTAAAATATCGGCATATCGGATATCGGCCAAAATCCCAATATCCTGCATCCCTAATATTAATCAAAATATCTGTCCTTATTTTTTTGGCGTTTCTATACTGAAGTTCTTTCCAGGTGGTGTAGAATCTATAGCAGGAGGTTCTACATTAATACAGCAGGTGGTTTCTGAAAGTTACAGTTTTTTTATAAATTACACAGAAATTTACTGATATTAGAAAATTTAATTTGTATTTTTGAATTTGTACTTTTGAATAGTTACTTTCAAAAGTGAGTATTTCAATACTTTCAGTAGATATTTAACCAAGTAACTTTTACTTGTAATGGGGGAAGATTTGACTATGAGTATCAAAGTACAACTGTTGAGGACTTTGTCCACTACTGCAGTTCTACACACACAGATCTACCTGAAAGACAACTCTAGACTTCTCTAGTAAGTAGGTTCTCATATTAGCGCCGATTATGCAGAGATCCTTGTCGAACCCGATCTCAATGTACTTCCCAAAGCGACTGCTGTTGTCATTCCTTGTTGTCTTAGCATTCCCAAAGGCCTGGAAAAAAGAAGCAAATTGTCTTAAAAAAAAAAAAGAAAAAAAACTTTAAATGTGTATTAGATTTTCCCACAGCGGTAAATTTTACCTCCATGATCGGACTGGATGCCAGAACCTTCTCCTCGACGTTGGTCTCCCCTGACGAGCTGCTGACTGTGGCGAAGTAACGCATGGCGTATTTAGCAGAGACCGTTTTACCTGCACCAGATTCGCCGCTTACTATGATGGACTGATTCCGCTGATCTCTGTATGGAAAGGAAAATTCAAGAACTCTCATAAAGCAAAAATATAAGCTGACAGAGAGACATTAAAATATGCTGGTGGAGATTCTCAGTCATCCAGGTGATAGTCGTTCCAAAAAAGTTAAAATCAATCCACTGGACTTTGTTTCCAAGTTTGAAGACGTTTCTCTTCCATCCAGGAAGATTTTTTCAATTCAAAATGTCAGAAATAGCGTTTAGTTCCAGGTTTTATCCAGCAGCCCAACAAAGCCTGGTTTTAGTTTAGAAAACATGCAAATAGAAAAGGATGAACGGGTCCCCCCCTTTGGAATGGGGGTCGTTTGGCTGCTTTGTTAGCCTGCAATGCATTTTGAACTGAAAAAGCTTCCCTGATGGGAAGGAAAACATCTTCAAACTTGGAAACAACTTTAGAGTCATATTGAAAACACAAAAAACTACATACATAAATATCTGTATATTACTGGTTGTATTACCGGGCCATTTGTTTGTATGCTTCCTCAGCTACTGCAAAGATATGGGGGTCCATATCGCCCATATTTTGCCCGCTGTAGGCGTTGATGATGTCAGCTTCATAGATAGGCAGGCTCTCATAGGGGTTGATAGCAACCAGAACAATTCCTGATGGATAAAACACCTGTTAGTTAGTTAGTTAGTTAGTTAGTTAGTTAGTTAGTTAGTTAGTTAGTTAGTTAGTTAAAGCACATTAAACAGCATTTAACTGTGACGAGGAAGGTTTGCTTTTATTTATTATCAGTTCCCCTGACTTATTCGATTTTAGAACATTAATTAGCTTCAGTGTGTCTCTTCCAGCTTTGCATAAACTCTAGACTTGTGTTGCAAACTAATTTTGCCACAGAATCGAATGTAAACAGTTTGAACCAGTCTGTTGTTGCACTTGCTGCATGTTTAGAGTTGTTGAGCAGAGAACACACTTAGGTCTTACAATCTGTAAAAGATTTTCACTCAATACTGCCCTTCTTCCTGCTGACTTTCTTCTTTATACTTTCATATAAGGGCCAGATTTCTAGGATGAGCTTGAAAAACGTAAGTCTAGGCAACTGGACGTGAAGTTTTCTAGAAGACGTTCTCCATCCAAGAGGCTTCTTCAGTTCTAACTAGTGGAGGGGGAAGCACTGAGATTAATATGCTGTAGGTGGAACAGATTTAGGGGAAAAACCAAAGGTGGCTCTGATCCCTCGTACCGGATTGGCCATGGAGGTCACCTGGGAGGTTAATGGCTGTTGGGGGGATCTGATGGGTCGTTAACTCCCTGGTCAGACCTCGGTCACATGTCTCATTGAAGTGTGAGTCAGGTGAGGGCAGGTGAGAGGTGAATCTTCTGGCTATTGTTCCCAAGAGTGTTTTGTAAAGGCTGCGTGTGTGTCGCAGTTAACGCAGATATGCCCCGCCCCTTTCGCAGACACTTTGCTGCATCTCTCCCAAATTGTAGGTTGTATATCAGCTGTGCTGCTGCCATCAACACCTTTGTTTCTAGATGTTGGAGCTTGGCCTGTTTTCCAGTGTAGTCCTGTTTCTCTGACTGTGACTAACTGGATGTGCTCTCTTCATCCTCTGACATGGGAGCTGGCTCGGAGCTCGTCTGCCTGGCTGTGTGTTTCCTGGACGGGGCCGCCTGTGGAGCTGGTTGACAGTTGCCTTTTGTATCTATGCTTCTTTTTCTATGTCTGCTTCTGTCTCCTTGAACCCCAGTGGGCCTCAGCAGATGGCCGCTCACACTGAGCCTGGTTCTGCTGGAGGTTTCTTCCTGTTCAAAGGGAGTTTTTTCTCTCCACTGTCGCTACAAGCATGCTTAGTGTGAGGGATTGCTGAAGAGTCAATGAGTCGATGCAATCAGCTGGTTTTCCTTAGATAGAAAACTTTGAATCAATCTGACTGGATGATCTGGTGAACTGGAAAGTGACCTGAGATGAAATGATGTGAATTGGAGCTATAGAAATAAACTGAATAGACCGCAGACAGGAGGCCTCTGATTGGTCAAATCTACATCCTCTCTACACTAGAATTTCCTAACCGGCTTGTTTTGTTTGTATGGCCGCCATTGTGGAAAACGACTGGTGAAGATGGAGCAGCTAGCAGAGCGAGGTGCGAGAGAACGCTGGACCCTTTTTCCACCTGGATCCCCCCTCTTTTTGGCCCTCATGTCCCTCTGTTGTCGCACAAACTTGCCCCCACTTCCTCACCGCCTCGGCCGTATCTAGACCCACAGCTAGTTCCTGATTGGCCCTCTGGGGTCGTGGCGTGGAACAACATAGTGCAGAGCACGCTTCAATATTGGGCATAAATCAAAAATATCTGCAACAAGCTCACTGTTACACTCAGTAATATGATAGTGTTGTGTTTCTTTAAAGCCAGCATCCTACTAATCAGCTTAAAGTAGTCCAGGTTATATCAGCACATGCAGTGAGTAAGGATCCAAAGTCTAGGCTGACAGTGATAGCGCAGTCAAAGGAGAGGAAGCTCATTACCACAGTAGGTGTAAATCAGCTTGGAGTCGATAAAGCGCACTTTAAGGTTGTGCAGCACGGCCGGCTCGTGGAGGTAGCTGAGAGCCGTGAGGTCATTCTCTCCCACCAGGATGTTGGGGTTTCTGAGAGGGGGTAGGTTTGGGGTTTTGGGGTCTATTCTGTGCTCCAAAACCTAAAAAAAGATACAAAAAAGTAAATAAATTTGAGTATATCCTAAATCAGAAGACGGATACTCTCTTATATAAAAACAAGCAAAACATGCAAACACTGCAGGTCTGTGTGTTTCAGTGATACTTGGAAGTGGAAGCTAACAGGAAAGCCTCTGAGCGTGGCCTGTTCATGTTCACTCAAGATAATATTTGACCTTATTTCCATACCTGATGTGCATGCCCAAACTCGACACAGTACCTTCGGGTAGCAGCGGGACTGGAAGAAAACTTTTTAAACCCCAGTTTGACTCACTTTGCGTTTATTGACGGCAACAAAAACATTTTATTCAGAGAAATACGACCAAAAGCTGCGTTTTCTGCCAGATAGTGTGCAGAGATTACACAGCAGCCCAGCTGTCACCAAAACCCATCATAGAGCCTAAATTTACTAGGCTCTGCTTCCAGCTTCGAGGGAAGAAATATGCACTTGGCACTTTGAGAACATTGCAAATCAATTTCCATCTCGTTGAGCCGTCTGGGTGTGTTTCTGTGGGTTTTTTAGTGGGGGGGGGGGGTGTCTCACCGTTCCATCTTCCAGCTGCAAAGACAGAGTCGAGTCACCAGGATTGTAGTCTCTGAGGAGCTCTGCAGATTTCCAAACTTCTGATGCATCTGGGAGCCAGACGTGGGCATTCTGGATTTAAAAATATACAGAAATGTAGAAACGTGTCAAACTTTCATATCCAAAGAGCCATTTTGCACAGAGTCTGGCAAAATAAAAGTCATTTAGAGACGCAAAATATGACTTTTTCATATATAAATAAAAATACAACAAGTTTTATTTTGGGTAAATATGTGCCATCTTAAACAACAAACATTTGATCGGCTTTATCAGCTTAAAGGAATAGTACACCCAAAACATGATTAGCCTTCATTTTCTACTCCCCCCCATGCTGAACAACACTCTGGAGTACTTTTTTGATATCTCAAATGCATCTGGAGATCTGGGAGGCTTCTTGCTGTCTGCTGACATTCAAATAATGGAGGTCTATGGCGCCCGAGGCAGAAAGGTCCATAAAAGTCCACAAAAAACGTGTCAATATTCCTCCATACTGCTCGTCCAATGTATTCCAAGTGTCCTGATTGGGTAGCGTCCAGAATTTACTCGAAACGAAGTCATTTAGAATGTTTTTAGAGCATAAACAGTAGTGTATAGGATTTCCTGAAAGCGCGTTCACGAGTCTACGGAAACCGCGGCAGACCAAACCAGATGAAAGTGCGCATTCAGCTCGGCAAAGAACTCATGCTCTTCCTCAACACTGAAGTCCTCAGACATTTTTCTTTCGTTGTTTCTTTCTTTGCACAGGTAAACAGCACATTTCTTCTTCTACGCTTGCATTATCGGCAGAGCAGACGCTGAATGCGCACTTTCATCTGGTTTGGTCTGCCGCGGTTTCCGTAGACTCGTGAACGCGCTTTTAGGAAATCCTATACACTACTGTTTATGCTCTAAAAAAATTCTAAATGACTTCGTTTAGAGTAAATTCTGGACGCTACCCACTCAGGACACTTGGAATACATTGGACGAGCAGTATGGAGGAATATTGACACGTTTTTTGTGGACTTTTATGGACCTTTCTGCCTCGGGCGCCATAGACCTCCATTACTTGAATGTCAGCAGACAGCAAGAAGCCTCCCAGATCTCCAGATGCATTTGAGATATCAAAAAAGTACTCCAGAGTGTTGTTCAGCATGGGGGTGAGTAGAAAATGAAGGCTAATCATGTTTTGGGTGTACTATTCCTTTAAACAACAAACATTTCATTAATTTTATTAGCTAAAGACAATGAAAAACATTTAAAAAAATTATTAAGATAAAGCATGCTTTTTCTTCTATAGGGTATGATAATAATAAAACACAATTTTAAGATAATTAAAAGAAAAATAGCTCTACAAAACATATTTCCGCTGCTTTTAATGTCCTGTTTAGATATTCTTTATAAAAACCAATAAGACTGGTATTTATTCTTAGAGTATAGCAATATATCATTTTTTTATCCACAAAATTAAAAACAATCCACTGGACTTTGTTTCCAACTTTGATGATGTTTTGCTTCCCATCCAGGAAGCTTTTTCAATTCAAAATGTCAGAAATAGCGTTTAGTTCCAGGTTTTATCCAGCAGCCCAACAAAGCCTGGTTTTAGTTTAGAAAACATGCAAATAGAAACGGATGAACGGGTCCCCCCCTTTGGAATCGGGGTCGTTTGGCATCTTTTGTTAGCCTGCAATGCCCCATACCTGTCTATGTCTCTGAAAGGGGGGTTGTTAAAGTCTTAGGGAGGCGGCCGTTCGAACCGTTGCATTTCTAAATTCTCCTGAGTGGTGCACGACTTTACAGGAGTTAATAAAGTGAATGTGATTGGTCGTTTATCAAGGGGGCGGGATTGTTGTGGCGGAAGGTTCGCAATCAATTTTGGTTGTGGCCGGTTTGTCGGAAGCATCTTGCTAACCAGTTAGCATCTTAGTGCTAGCAGGTTCCCAATGGGAAATTCCATTGGGACCAAGTAGCACTAAATTGGTGACTTAGAAACGACGCTGTCAAGGAACGCTATGGACAGCGGAAACATGCAAGAGGAGGAGAGTTTAGTGTCGGAGGTCGTGGATGAGTCTCCTCCGTCATCCATTTTTTATTTAGAGGAGGAAAGCGGGGACGAAGATGTTGTGGAAGAGGACGCCAGGGCGGCAGAAGCTTGGTTTGGTGTAGAAGGCTTCCAGCCGTCCATGTTTGAGCCCTTGCCTCGCAACGCTGCCAGTTCTGTTAGCTCTACGCCTGCCGAAGACACAGACGTCCATCCCCGTGAACACTGGGACGCAACTCAATGGGAAAGGAAAGGATTCTGGTTTCAACCGTTGCATATATTAGCTGCGACATATGAATCAAGATGCTATGACCGAAAACATTTAACTGACAGATGAGCGTTATATATGATTGGTCGAATTTAGTTGTTCAGGCTGACGTAGAACTAACTGGCCTGCAGAAGATAACGAAAAAAACACAGATTTTAAGACAGGTTTTTTTTAAAAATAGAAATGTTCTTTTTTGGGAAAATATGGTCTGATAAATAGAACATTTATATACATGTTTAAACCAGAATTATTTGACATTTAAATATGATTTCCCTACGACTGTAATGCCTTGCAGGGCAGCCTAAAGCCCACTGCTCTCATTAAGCCAAAAAAAAACAAAAAACAAAACAGTTTAGGTGTTTTATAAAAAAAAAAAAAAAAAAAAAGGTGAGTCAGGAAATTGTGTTTATACCAAACTGAACGATTTTTGTTCTCTACTTCAAAAAAACACTAGATTTTAAAATGGAAAAACGTTCTAATTTTATTTCAGTGTTAAATTCGGTTTAAATTAACGGATTATAATTTTAACTGAGCCCTGATCTAGAGAGCCACATGTGGCCCCGGGGCCGCAGGTTGCAGACCCCTGGCCCCCAGCAACAGCTGGTTGGAAAAGCTTCATCATCTGCGGCAGCAAACAGACATGCGCGTAATGAGGATGTTCATGTTCATGTGGCAGAGTAACGGAAGGAAGAGCTGCTTTTAACACGTTCATTTCAAGAGTTCAGAAAAAAACCGTTAAGAAGTTAAACGTTGGTGTTCAGTCGTTACTCCAAACGGACTTAGAAAGGAACGAAGATAAACCGCTTTGTTATCATTGTCGCTTCCTACCTTGGAGTAAAGTTCAGAGGCAGCCATGACTTTAACGCTCAGCGGAGATTCTTTCTAGCAGCTTGAAAGGAGGAGAAACATTCTGCTGCCTCCTGGATCTCCTTCACTTTGCTCCTTCCTACCGACCAGGAGGACTGGGCTCCCTCATGCTCAGCAGCTGTCAATCAGCTGTGCGTGCCCCCCCTCCACCCCACATAGATTAACAACCTGAGCCAATTCCGCCCCCTAGTGGCTAATCATTAAATTAAATGACGTATGGAAAGCAATTGCTGTCAAAATCCGCCTCTCCTTTCACTGGGATGCTCTAATAGTTTCCCAACTTTTTTTTCTTACCATGAGTTCCCCTCTCAGTCAAAAGTATTGAAGATTGTCCAAAAGTGAAACGTACAATAACTGTTTAAAAAAAAAAAAATTTACTTAATCTTTTACTTTGCTTAATCTTTTATTTCCATCTCAAATAAAAACAACATAGATATGTTGCTTGGTTAGAAAGGAAGCAAAAAATAAATAAATAAAATCATATTATAAATCTGTATTTATAAAACTGGAGCTCCTGTGTGTAACTCCCTTATAATCCCATTTAAACTGCAGGAGTTACAAACAAAATACAGAAAAAAAGTATAGTTACACTGACTTAATTAGTTTTACTTTGTTTTCATCCACACACATGGGCTGCTTTGATGAGCTCTGGTTGCTCAGGGTGAAAAACAGCACATCCCAGGCTCTTCTCTGCACCCAGAATGTTCCTCTTGGTTTTTAATTCGTGTCAAAGCTGAACTCAAATAAGAAAAACGTGCTTTTTGGTTGATAAAAGCTTGTGTAATTTTTTATTTTTTTATCACGTCCTCACAAAGCAAAACAGACCCCAGCCATATTTTATTTTACTACCTAAGAAATGAAATATTTCATGTACCCCTTGCAATGCACTCACGGACCACTAGGAGTACAAGTAACCCCTGGTTGGGAATCACTGATCTAATGGCGTGTATTCATTACAGAAACCATTTCAAAACACAATAACCTTCTATGGCTTCTCTTTTATTATTTAAAAAAAAACAGGACTTGATAAAATTATTATAACAAATTAGAATTTCTAAAAACCTATCTGGCAAGTGGGTGATATTTTTTGGTGTAAGTTGCTGATTAAATACTCAGATTGTCTTTTTGTGTTTGCAGTCAACATATTTTCTCTCAGATAAAACCTTCAACCTTCCTTATTCAGATGTAAGTTTATCTGGTTTGCTGCATCTGCGTCACACTGACAGAAAACTGAGTTAGAAAAATAAAATAAACAAATTGTTTTAAACTAAAAGGTCAAATAAAGGTCTTTCAAATACCTTTATGTAATGTAACTCCACTACGTTTTGCAGTGTGGACCAACGTAGTGGGGGTACATTTTCCCATGAGACTGGGTTGTACAAGTTTGACCTCATGTTCGCCAAGAGGGCCTTCGTCCACTGGTATGTGGCAGAAGGCATGGAAGAGGGAGAGTTCCACGAGGCCAGAGAGGTCCTGGCTACTTTGGAGAAGCATTACAAGGAGGTGGGTCGTATAAACGGACTGCTGGGCACCAACAAAGAAGAAGAGGAAGAAAATGAATACTAGAGGGACAGGCATATATTTGTTCGCAACTTCCTTCTCTTTGTCAGCCTGGATGATTGGTGTTCCTATGGGTTTCTTTATTCATCTAGATCCCTAATTAAAAATTTCTAGCATTAATACTTTATGTTTTTTCCCCCTGAAATCCTTCTGGTTGGTGATGTAATGATGTCTGATGCCGAGTTCGAATTCAGAGGCTACATCCTCCCGAAGGCCAGATTGCTATGCCAATTAGTGCAGCATATTGGCGCGGCACCATAGCAGGGCGTCATAGCGCGATGTCATAGCTCAGCGCTGAGGTTTGTTGGGATTGAAAGACTCCTCCTTACGCAGCCGGCAAAAGTCTCCTTCTTTTTGCCCGTTTTGAAGGGCGGGTTCGGCGTATCCAACGTAGCATTGGATCTCCCGTGATTCATTGCCAGTCCAAGCAAGCCGGCTGCTCCGTGCTCAGAGGATAAAGGTACTTGGTGCCGAACAATGGTGAATAATAGAAGTGCATTATTTGAGTAGTTCCATCTGAAATTAATTAAAATAGTTGTTTTAAATGGGTATTAATTAAGATATGGGGTGGATAATGTTTGGTTTTGGCTAATATTTAAGGACAGATTCTAATATATCTGTGTTGTGGGGACTATAAATTTGGTACGATGCAGCTGTTGAAGCACCTCAAAAATGTTAAACACCCAGAACAGCAGTGAGAAGTTCTGTATTAATTCTTTTCCTGCTTTGTGTGTGAACTCTCACAGTTGCTAGGCGACAGAGCTTACAGTGGTAAAAGCCGCAGAATGCTGGACCTGTGTGGATGCACAGCCAAAACTATGGTGGCCCTGAAGTGCAAACTGCAACTACAAATCTAAAAGCGTAACTACATTAAGGAAATCGCAACTACATTAACCTACTGGAAAAGGTAGGTACCAGTGGGAAACATGAGACATCGCTGATTGGACGACGGCGCCGTTTGACCCTTGAACCGGAAGTCATTCTGCCTGCTGCGGCTTTTGAAAACATGGATATTGTCGGCGCCCCAAACATAGCCGCCGTTATCCAGGAATATTTTGAATCAGGACATACGTATGAGGTGATACTGGATATGCTCAAGGCTGATCACGAAATTTCAGTTAGTTTGCGTACACTGAAGACACACTTAAAAGAAGCTGGACTGTTCAGACGACGCAACTTCCGGTTCAAGGGTCAAACGGCGCTGTCGTCCAATCAGCGATGTCTCATGTTTCCCACTGGTACCTACCTTTTCCGGTAGGTTAATGTAATTGTGTTTTTCTTAATGCAGGTGCGCTTTGCTTTATGTAGTTGCGATTTCCTTAATGTAGTGGCACTTTTAGATTTGTAGTTGCAGTTTGCACTTCAGGGCCACCGTACAAAACTCTTCCGGTCTCCTTATTTTCATGAACTTTGAAGGATCCAGTCCACATAGACCAGGTCCTTGGAGGATGCAGCCTTTGAAATCGAACACACCCTGAATGCTGTTGGTGCTAGCGGTACCACATGGATCCTAATGAGGGGCTCTTTGCCTGAGGTCTGTTTTGGGTTTTCACAAAGCTGGAGCTGGACATAGTTTCGGTATCAATACCTTTTATCAAGTCTGATGTTTTAATAAAGTCAACATTCCAGAAATGTCATAATAAGGGGATTCTCTTTGGGCATTCATGGAAGTCTTTTTGAAGCTTTCATTTAGATAAGATCAACCAAAATCAAGGAAGTTATGGCATCTTCTTCCAGCCCCATTTCCACCTGTCCAGGTACAGTCTGTGTTTTTTCAGTCTTGTTCTGTAGGTCTTTGCAAGGAGCAAAGCACCAAGAACCAGTCTACAGGTGTTGTGAATGAATGAATGAATGAATGAATGCACACCAATGTGTTAATTGATGACGGAAAGACATCTTCTGCCTCCATTTATCGGTTTACTATAGTGTGTTGAATTAATATTAATGTGGATTTAAAGACATTTCAATTAGGGGAAAGAATTGCCAGGGGGAATACAGGCTTCCTACAGCATAAGGCGAGTTAAATTCAAGACTTTTTAAGGACTTGCGGGAACCCTGGAATATATATATATAAAAAAAAGAAAAAAGAAGTATTCTACCAAGACTTTCGCAAACCCCATGCAGAACCTCCATGGAGCTCCTGTTGAAGACCTCCGCTTTAGCCCATCTGTTACAGAATACAATAACGTGAGAGAATTGTGTAGAAAATAACTGCCCAGTGCAGCAAATGTTCTTCTTAAGTTGCACAAAACAATAAATGCAAAATTCAGATACAATAAATCCAGAACTCAGGTTTAAGATATTATGCAAAACTATTTTATTTACAAAAAAAATGGCACAGCATATCAGCACAGTAAACACACATGCACACTCCAGACATGACGTGGGAATGTTTTCCCATGTGATCCAAAAAGGGAATCCAGTCAAACGGCGAAAAAGACGAGATTCACCACGATGATTCTCACTGAGGGAGCAAATATTGCTCAAGAGGAAACGACTGTTCGTTACTTTAAGGCCATATTTCAGAGGTCAGGATGAAGAGATCAGCAGCATGTCGTCGTGAATTAACCGTATTAACATGGATTTAACGCAAATGGACACAAGCAGGTCGGCTGCACATTAAAAACTGAACCGTTAAACAGAGCCGGAAAGGTAAAATATAAAGCTTTGATGAGTTCACTATCTAAAACTGGTTAACATTAGGAAATCCTTTTAATTAGGCATCCGTTCCCCTTCATAGTGAACGGCCATCACCAGGTTCCTCTGCCGTCATGTAAACATCATCTCCGAAGAAATGCGCTGTTATCACTTTACAAGGAAGCCGGCTCTCCTTTAAATGCAGATTGAAAGCTAAATCATGACCACATTCCTTTTGTTGGGTGCGTTCAGACCCCATAACTTGGTTTAAATCTTTAACATTTTTAGTGAACTGTTTATTAGACTAACTCTTTTTCTTTAAGCAGTTTAGGGCAATACATACAAAGGCAAGGAAAGATGACTAAAAACAGCAGGTAGGTATAAGATGGTTGATGGAATGATAGCAAATAAGTAAACAGAAGAAGCGTCAAACGGCTAGCTTGCTGGCCACGATGGAGGTCTTCCTCTGGGGGAGGTCCTGAGGGGTGGGGATGTGGTCCCCTGTGATCTCCGTCTTCTCCGTCGGAGCCGACGGCAGCTGTTTGTTCTTCATTTTGGCCTTGGCCATGTTGTAGTCCCCGGAGTCGAAATACTTTTGCTGGACAGAGAACGACAAAGGCAGAAGAATGAGACCCTGATGTCAATCCCACCCACATCCATTTCTATCCGTTAAGTGGGATTTATTGCCTTTCGTTTGCTGTTTTTCATCTTTTTTCCCTTTAATTCAACTCACTAAGTAAAAAGAGACCTTCCTTCAAGGAGAGTTTTCGCTGTTCCTATGAAATAAAGATGTGAGGATCTAATGCTGCGTTCACACCGGGGGCAGCTGGTGCGACAGAAGCAGCGAGTTTACGTGCAAAGTCAATGGTTGACGTGCGTCAAGGCGCAGCAAAAGGTCCCGCAGCGCGTCTGAGCAGCTGAAGCAGCGCGTCGGGCGCGTTTTG